CAATATTACCAAGTGAAATATTCAGTCACAGGATCGGCAGAATTTGTGACAACATACCATTAGAAATGAAGCACTGTGGTGTGATAAAAACACCCCAGCCTATAAATCATATTCTCCAGACATGAAGGAACATGCTTTTAGGTCCAGACAGCAGCAAAATCACATCATCAGCTCCCGGTTTGGTCTCAGTAAGCAGACACCCTCTCTTCTTTTAGGATTAGGCTTTAAAAAATTCCTTTTTGATAAAGCTTAGAGTTAGGGCTGGCTCAGGTGACTCTGAACCATCCCTTAGGCATGCTACTATAGGCCTAAGCTGCTGAGAGACTTCCCACGATGCACTGAGCACCTCTCCTTTCTTTCTCTCTTCCGATACATTTATATGACACCACTGCATGTCGCTAACTTTGTCTCTTCTCTCTCCCACAGTTTGTGTTTTGTCCTCTCTGCAGGTATCGCTGGCTCTTGAGCTGCACATTCTAATAATGTACAGCTAATAGTTTCACCAAACTCTCCTTTTGTTCCTAGACTCTGTTGGTTTGTCTGCTTTCTATCTGCTATCCTGTTAACACTTCCCTTCACCCCCACCCCAACCACTCGAGGCAAAGGGCCGCCCTCCTGGAGTTGGACAAGACAAGTGTCTTCCTGTTAAAAGCTTTTTTTTTTTTTTTCTTCCCACTGTTGCCAACGAGCTGCTCGAAGGAGATCTTTGGACTTCCTATGTGAAGTTCCTTAGCATTACTGGTGTTGTGGATTAGCACTATGTAAATAAAACTGAACTTAGACGATGTTTCTTTGTTCCAGTGGAAAAAACAAAAAAATACCCTACCCCATCTGTCAAAGGAAACACATTATGATATATTTTTTTGCATATTACATTTTCTACTCTTTTGAATAAACTTCTTTACCTGATGCAGACACAGTGGGCGTTTTCTGAGCTAATCTAACCGCATGAAAATTAACACACACACAAAAAAAAAAAACGTGTTCATTTGTTCTGCCCCAAAAGGTGTAACGACAAGGACTCAGGAGGTGTCAGTCAAGCTCATATGTACACGCCCACACAGCCTTCAAAGTGGTCTGATCAGCCACAGTAACTGAAACACCTGTGTGGATGTCTTTTATTAGTGTGGGACGAGCTTTATAGTAGCTTTACTTCCTGCTACTGCTCTGTAACAAAACAAAGTGGCTTTTGTTCATGCGTGCCAGACGGTGTACTCGTTCACAGGACTCGTATGTAAATTTAAAAAAAAAAAAAAGTAGTGAGATAAACACGAGGCGACGTATTCTCCTTCTCGAAGTTGTAAAAAAAAAAAAAAAAAAAAAAAAGCTCACCAGAGACAGTTACGGTGCAGTCGTGACTGTGCCGGGCCCAGCTCACCGCAAGTCAAGCGTGTGTAAACAATGAAACTTAGCTAGCTAATCAAGCTAGCAGCGTCAATGTCCCCGCAACAAGCGCATAAATTATCACTCCTAAGTTGCAAGTCCCCAAACGCGATGGATTCAAAGCACTCTAAAGCTTATGTTTAGCCACAGTAGCGTCAGTAAAGACGAAAAACTCCGACCTGTTAACTTGACGAGTGTTTCCCCAAGTGCAAAACGCATGTATGCATGCATGCGTGCATTTCCTCATCATTTCTACAACTCCTTCGACCGCACATTTAAAAGTCCCACCTTTTTCTTTCCATGGTCCCGCTCGCGTCGACGTTCTTGGCCGTGATTCTGGCTCAGAAAAGACAAGAAGCCAGCTACCTGCTTGTTGTTACTGCAGTCATGAATTTACAGAGTGTGGTTAGCTGTCGAAGCCCGCTGTCCGTCTGTCTGTCCGTCTCACGTCAAGACCTCTACCAGCGGCAGATCACTCCGCCGGCCCCGGAACATAATGAGCACTGTAAATCCCTGCGCCGCGCTCCTGTAAACTAGTCCGACAGCGACGCCCCGGGCCTAACCGGCTCTGTGCACTGCTCACTGATACGGGTGTTTCCATTTTTTGTTCTAATTATACCAACATTGTACTTTAAGTTAAATACTGGCAATTTTAAGATATATTTATTTGTAATTTAGAAGTTTAATAAACAGTGTACAGATACTGTGGATGCTACTTTGGTACAATGACAATAAGGCTTTTTGATTATGATTTTTATTTCCTACGGTATACAACTGTATGCAAGTGCAAAATTATTATGACAGTGATTTGATATTATACCACCTGAATCAGCTACATTAAACTGCTGCTTAAACTTTTATCAGATCAATAATACACTCCCAAAGCTCCATTCTGCTCAAGACGTGATATTTCATAGATATTCACACATTTTCTTATACATAAAGGATATCTTTCATATAATTGTATATAAAAACTCTACATATTTTGTATATTTGTATTCCAGGACTGATGTGAGTGGTGGGGTCACTTTACATTATTGCATCACTACTTTTATTTTGTATAGATTCATCTGTAATGGCGCTCAGTTTGAGGTTTGTGGTTATCTTGTAAGATGAGGAACACAATCACAAAGAGGCAGCCCCACCATGTCTATTGACACAAGAGTAAAACTGCCTATATTTTTATTGATGGGAAATACCAACAGATTAACAGCTAAAACGAGCATATCCTTCACTGAACTGATCAAATCGATGCAAATTTCATTCAAACTCCACCAACAGTGCTTCATTCAGGTTCTAGAAACACGTTAATCAAATCAGATTGAATGAAAGTAGTATTCAAATCATCGCAAGTAAAATAATTACACACAACCATTACATAAATCATACATACTTTACTTGTTCTCTTTAAAACAGTTACAATCAAGAATCACACTTGACCCAAAGAGCCCAGATGAATAAATACCCATCCCTAAACCAAGAAGGCAAAGAAAACAAAAGCACATGTATCACATCCGTTTTCTTCCGTTCTCCTTTTCACTGACAGAGGAACGTTGAAATGCCAAACCCTGGTGCACTGCCGTGGATATTTGCGGCGAACAGTTCAATGTTGACTGAGCAGCTGGATGAGGACGACGGGCTCACGTGGTTTGCATACAGTTGGACCACAGTGCAGGATGTCGGCTGCAGCAGTTCATTATAGAGGTCTTTGTGTAGAAAAAAAAAATAAGACAGCACCAACCTGACAGGAAAATTTAATTCAAACTTGTTCAACTCTGCAGCGTACCAGGAAAGACCAGAGCTGAGGGTCAGTGCATTCAGGAGAAAAGCCTGAATGGAAGGTTCGGGAGTACGAGAACAGAAGTGTATTCATTGTACGTTACACATCTTTTGTCTAAAAGCACCTTCCAAAATTCAGTCAGTGTCCTACACTGTTCATGAACTTATTTCAAAGACAAGTGTGTTAAACAAAAGTCTATACAGTTCATGTTTCCAGTGATCAAAAGGCTTTTCAGGTTGGCTCATTAGAAGCAGCTACATATAGTCTTAAAATAGACCGTTGTCCTTGATTCTGGTCTCCAGACACCTCCAAACTGTCTGGCTTACTGTCTCTGAATTTCACCTAGTTTCCTTGTCGCGACTGGAAGTAAGTATTAAGTGTGTTGCCACCATCATGTTTGACCAAAGAAACAGTGTTAGCCAGGCCATGATGATGATGATGATGATGATGTACCTATTTTTTTTTTTCTAAAGGTGTTGTCATAGACTGTAAATAATAAATGGATGTAGCCTCCAGGTCTGACAAATGAAGCCAAACCAGCTGGCAGGGGGCGAGGCTGTAGGGCGTACGGTTGTAGCTACACAGTGTCTTTGGGTTCTCAGCATCACCATGGCTACATCCACCTTAAACACAGTGTAACTTCAACTTTATTGTCAGAACGGACAATCTGTTTGTCATGAACATTGTAGAGTAACTAAACACGATAAACTCATAGACATTCAGTTTCATCATTCATCAATCAGCGTTTATGCACAACTGGATAAAAACATAACGTGAATGAGGCCAAAGAATCACTTGGCAGCATGGTGCCACATCTTACATGTAGTAATCACAATTTTCATCTTGACATTACCATGGCAACTACATACAGAGAGACAAAACTTATCACAGCAAACGTACACGTAAAGATTTTACATTGTTTAAGCAGTTTTGTGTATCGCTGAACTAAAAACACGTATGTACTCGTTGCAACATTTCCTCATTCACTGTGGATGCACTGATGTACTGAGCACTTGTTAAATTAGCAACGATGGACTGTTTCATAATGCAGATATATGGCTGTTTTGTGTGTCAAATTGTTCTTTTTTTTAATACATGCAGCTTGCTGTTAGATGGAGACACAGGCTAACAGTAGGTTATATTATGCAGGCACTACTTGCTGCAGGTTCTATTCTTGAAACAAGGCCAAACCTCCACCCAGCAATGTCTGCTGTCTCAGGATGGATGTCTGCCCTCATTTCCATTATTTACACAGTCTGTGTGAAAGTGCTGCTCGTCTGTGTTATTTTGTAACAGTTGTCTTGCAGTGCCGCCACAATAGAGAGTAAATAAACATCTCTGCCCAACACAGACATGTTATATGTACCTGACTCAACCTGAATTTTTTTTTTTTTTTCATGGGACACCCAAGTGTGAACAGCAAAACAAACCACTGACTGATTAAAAATAGACTAGTATGTGCCTTTTGAAAAATTGTACACAGCCTTAGGGATGTGCCAGTCTGTGAAGTCGACTTTAACCAGGCGCTATGGACGTGTCAATAACAATTATGAATAAAGAAAGCTTGATTTATTAATGTCAGAGAATTCGCTAAAAGATGGTTTTCATTCATCCCACATCCACCCAACCGGTCGAGGCAGATGGCCGTCCCTCCCTGAGCCTGGTTCTGTCTGAGGTTTTTTTTTTCCCCGGCGGGGGTTTTCGGTTCCTTCCTGCGGACTGCTGAAGCTTATAGGGAATCCAAATGTTTTGGATTGTTGGGTGTCTCTGCCTTTGTTAAGCGCTATGAGATGACTTGTTGTTGTTGTAAATATGCGCTATACAAATAAAATTGAATTGAATTGAATACTGACAATGTAACACAACTGCATATATTTGTAAAACATGTTTCACGCTTGGTAATAACTGAATTCTGTGTATGCACTGACAGGTATAGTTCCTAGAAAGCATTTTGTGTTACACAAAACCGCAGCGTGTAAGAGATGTGAACACTGACTCAAAAGGTCTAAAGCCAATATAGCTGCAGAAGAGGAAGTTGTTTGAATTTGGGGTCTGGTCTCACACTTGCAAACATTACGCCACTGAAACAGTCTTGAGCCAAGAGAAGTGTGATGACGCTTCAGGCCTCAATGATAATCTCCATATTTAGCATGCTGTTTCTGCCATTTCTCAGACTAACCTTATCGTCACTACTCGTCCTTCTTAAATTTGCCATTGATGTAGGGAACATGATCCAAAATCAATCACCAGTCTGTTACGTAGACAATAGCTATACCTGCTGTTGAGCCCCAACCAGCCATCGTTGGGAACCTGTGGAGGAGGAAAGACGAGGTCAGATTGGAGCTCGTCTCACTTCGTCTATTCTGGAGATCATAATGGTCTGGCTGCACCTAATGAGAGTGATATAGGGGAAAAAAAAAATACAATTAAGTAAAAGTAAATACTCATTCCAGGATATTTAGAAGTTTTGTGGGAATGATACAGAAATGTTAATATTACTACAAATCATAGTAACACAGCAATTTGTTTTGTCAGCTTTTTGTTTTGTTTACTGCAAACAATGTGAAATACTCCAGCAACAGCATTATGGTGTCTATAGATTGATACTAGGAAGAAGTGCTAAACTAATTAAGAGTAATGCATGCCACATATTAGGACGGTTAAATGAAGGTTACACGTTTTTTGTTTTTTTTGTTTTTTAACATATTGTGTAAAAATACTTTGCGACTTGCTGGTTTACAGTTTTACAAATACAACTTTTAAGAGTTGCTTGATGTTTTCCTTTTCACATCCATTGTCTAAGAGTTTATTTACCTTAATTTGGCATTAGACGCAACTTTTACAGCCTTAATAATTAACGACAAAATTAACATTTCGTCTAATCAATATTGATCACAACCTCATCCAAGACAGATCAGTCAGCTTGTTAGTAGTTTGGCTCACATGTTATCAAGATGGCTAATGCCGGTAAGAGTTTCACAACCCTGCTACGTTATGAGCGAAGAAATAACAGTTACATACAAAGTAACGAACACTACCTCTAATACATAACAATCATAATTTTAGGCATCTTTAGCTCAGAGTTTAGCTCAGTTAGCTAAAGTCAGCTTGTCCCTGCAGCTCTATAACCTCGGCTACGCTAACAGCTGATGCTAACTAAGACACACAAGGGTTCTGTTAACCAAAACTCTACAAATGCGATATTAAAACAAAACATCTTACCATGCCTTAGCAATGGTCACATACTTCTGACCTACTATTTTACCAATCATTTTGGCAGAAATTTGTCCTCCGAGCGCAGGACGTGAAGCTTTAAAAGCCAGAAGAACTTCCGAGTTTCCTCTGAGGCTTCGTCTAGTGCGCATGTGCAATGACAACTTCGTGGTATTACAAAAATAAAAGCTTAAAACAACAATAAAAGCTTTTGCTGTTTGTGAAAGCAACTTGTAAGTTGATGGCATTGATTTTTCAGGTCTGTCACATATGAAGTCTGAATATATATTTTCTGAATATATATAAATAAAAACATTTTGCTTTTATGCAATGTTGTCTTTTCATTGCTTTTAATGGATTTATTGCTTATATTCTCAAGAATTTTCATCTTGTTTAAATTTTTTTTAAAGACTTTATCTTATGGTTGCCTTGCTTTAGTTTGGCCTGTCTGCCATTCTGTTATGTTACGTTCAAGGTGTCCTGCTTTTGCTTCATCTACCAAAACACACTATAAACTCTGTTTTTAAAGACTCTGTATAATTACAGTCATTATATTGTTACATAAACAGAGTGCAGTGGGTCTCACTGACACAGGGTGGTGACGATGCAGCCTATTTCTGCCCCCTAGTGGATCAACGACGCTATGACAAAATACCGCTGACCTGTCTATGAAACTACCTCTGGATGCTTGAACTGAGCTTGTAAACTCAAAAAACAAAAAATAAATTTCTCCACTGAAACTTGTTTTTAAAATTGTTACTTGTCTTGAATGTTTGAGCTTCAATATTCTGAAGGACGAATGTGCAAAAGTTGATGCTTTAATACTTTCAAAGGCTTTTATATTCATTACCTTAATGTGAAAAGTATCTTAGAACTCACTTAAAATCTGGTTCATGAGTTGGGACTTACCCTTTAGTCCAATAGGAAACTACTACAATGCTGTGTGGACGGCTGAAGCCTGCACTGCACAAACACTGTGAGTGACTTTCTGTGGATGGAAGAGTTATCTTTCGTGTGGTAATTACATTTTTGAAATCACAAATATTTGCATATTCAAGAAAAGAATGTTAAAAGAGAGAGGGGGTGTAGATGGTAAGAATTTCTGAACATGTAACTGCAGAATTCACATCAAATTCAATTCAAATTAACAATAGAATACTTTTGTACATCTTCAAACATGGCTGGAGGGCATTAAATAGACCCTACTTCATCCTGAAAACGTGCAATTGTTTTTTTATTTTCAACTTTAAAAAAAGACATTGTAATAAAGTGGGTTTTGTAAATGGCACATTTATTGCTACATTACTGTTATATACACAACAGTTCTCAATATCTACTTTTATATATAAAAAATAGGAAACTGGAGGCACTTTGAGGACATAGCCTACATAGATGTTGTCCCCAAACATGAGTGAAGACAAGGAGAGCTGTAGTCGATCATCTGCTGTGGAGGACAGAGAGAGTCTGTTAACCAAACAAAAATAAATCTGGTGCACGGTTTGATACTAGGTTACTGGAGACACATCTTTCATGTACAGAAATAAAAGTACAAGTCTTCAGTAGCGATTTTCCATATCACAAAAACACCAAGGTTTTCAGAGGAAAGGCTAGAGTAATAAAGAAATTAGAATTGGGGGCGGGGCTTGTCCACGGGGCAAGATCTGTGATAAATGACAAATACGGTTACATATCAGTATCAGCTCACAATGCTAAAGCTGATAAAGACATACAGCTGTACATACGTATCAAAGCACATGCCTAGGACAAAATTATACCGAACCAAATCCAGACTATAAAATCAGACTTTTGAGTACAGTTTTGAGCATCAAAGTTGTCGACCAGGTTATTAGTAAGCTTACATCTCATGACACACTGAAGCGGCCGGCGTCACAGAGTGTAATTTTTCATTTAGATGTTCTGAGACCCTGACAGATGTTACTGAAGTAAATATGTCTTTATACATCTGAATTATATATATAAAAAAAAAAAAGGTACAACCTATAAATCCTTAAATGCAACATCATCCACCGTGTAGCAGAGAAGTAATCAGGCACTGGTGAGTAACCATTATCAAAACTCCCAAAGTCAGGAAAATGACTAAGGCCACCCTTTTTGATTCATTTTATGCTTCACATCACGATGAAACGGGGAATTGTGTTGCAGATTGTGCTGACTGCCCCCGTCTGTCCCTCCCTCAGTCTAATCAACAAACACATCAGAGAGCTGGACATCAGGGAGACGAGGAGGGGGGGTGCGCTGAAGAAAACATATTCCATTTCATCTTAAGAAAAACTGTCACAAACACCAGAACAATCCAATTACAACTGGCCTGACAGGTTTGTGTTCAGACAGGGATTTTAAAAAAAGAAGACCAATATCACAACATGTGATGTTACAGCCAGGTAATTTTGTCATTTCTAACATTTCTAAAGCACCTGGCACCAAATAAAAAAACAAAAAAACACTTTGTTCCTGGAATCTAAATTGAGTTGTCTTACATTTAAACAATGTCAACAAAAAGAAAAAGCATTCCAAATGATAAAAACAGAACTCTTACAACTATCTTACAAAGTAAAAAAACAAAACCAAATTAAAAAACAATGATAAATCAATTCTACAAAAGGAAGATCCTTATAACAGGCTCCACAATTGTTCAAAAGGTAAAAAAAAGTCAACAAAAAAACCACCAAATGCTCAACACAGAGCAACCAAAACAAGTCAGTCAATGGCGATAGTGTAAATTCTCCCAAGAGTAGCAGTAACACTCATGATCCCTTTCAATACTCGGTTATTTCCGTCTTCTGGCGAAATGCAATTTACCACAATACAAACTGCGCTGAAGGTTAGATGCAGTGAGTTCACGGTGCTGTAACAGCGTCTGTAAGTACGATTTGCTGTGGACAGGCTGGCTGACGCTGGCTGTATTTCAGTTTGCTGAGGCTGAGACGCTCAAGTCCAACTGCAGCCTCACGGAAGAAGAATGGGATGGCGATGTGGACATTTGATTTAATGTCGCTCTTGATCCTCCATTTGCATTAAGTCATGTGTCTGTGTCCATGGTTGGTCTCTCTCCGGCAGTCTTTCCATTCCACTTGCATGGCAGTGACAATAACAGATGTATAGGACTTTAAGAGATAAGACTCTGGGTTCCACGGTTAGAAAGAAGCAAAACAATTCAACCCACTACATGTGTGAGTCTGTGAATGTGGCATTTTGTCACTCATGCAATAAATTTAAGAAATACAGCCCGAACTATCAGCATATCAAAAAGAGGAGTCAGCTGTCTGATTGCCCAGCCAGTGGCTGGATTTCTCCAAACCTGCCTCTCTTCAGTCACCATGTAAGAGGAGGAGAACGATTTTTCATCTAACTCAACGCTACGCATCAGGCCGCTTTCAGGCATGATTAACAGGTTTTGTTCAATCATAAGATGTAAATCCTCCCTCTTTGCTTGTGAAGAATGTAAGACCTTCTTTTCTGATGGGAATGCCAATAATATTCCAACGATACAAATCCTAACTTTGCTCACATGAGCAATTGATCCAAAAGTGTTATTTGATCCAAACAAGTTTTGCGCCCAACTTGTAAAGCAATTTTAAAAATGTCTTACAAAAACGTCATCATAAGAATGTCCTGATGTCCAATTTCCACTGTTTCCAAACCAGTGTCCTTGGTTCAAGATGGTGTCATGTAAAGATCAATAAATCTTCTCTTTTCGTATCAGTGTGCTTGTTATTCTCGTGTTCATCGTCAGGAATGTGGCCACCTGCTTTGTCAGTAATGAGGTGTGTGCGGGTGTGTTTTTCCAAAAGTTGATTAACACACACTGAGATGCATGACAATGGTAGATTAAGGCCACGTGTTCTAAGGGCTGTACAATCAACAGGAACTGGAAGAGAAAAGAGAAAGAAAATTAATCTCTCGCCATAAAACAAGATTAAAATGAGCATTCGTGTCAATCTGATTGTCCTCCAACAATCACCACTGTAGAAAATCAGCAGACTGACCTGAGAATTACATATGGCTCACAGGGTTGTGTCCATCACCTCCTAGACCAGGGTGACCCCCACCGAGCTGCATCTGGGGGTCCACACCCGACACTTTCTCCTCCTCTCTCCTCTTGAGGCAGGCAGCCTTTGGGTTCAAATTACGCTCTTTGGAAACAAATGATAGATACAATCATTAAGCAGCAAGCAAAAATGGGACTTTTTTTTTTCAATTTTTTAGGTCTGAAGAAGTCCACAAAGGCAATAAAGCAGAGTCATGAACATACAGAAGGCCGACTACACAAGAGGAATAAAATGGGGAAAAAAAAGAGAAAAGGCAGACAGCAAGAGTGAAAAGTTGGGTGAGAACTGCAGGTGTTTGGCAGAAAAGCAGGGATATACTTCCTCAACTCTCCTCCCATTCTTCTCATTTCTTTACTTTGCCCAGGTGATACAAGCAAAGAGAAATGTGGTTGCTACACAGTCAGCAGGAACAGAATTGAAGAAGAGGTTTCCCTACAGGTGACTGACTGGACATTTTAGTCCAGGTCTGCTGACAGATGGCTGGTAGTCTATGTGGACTTGTTGTATTGGCTGACCTACCTCGCACCTGCTTCTCTAGGCCCAGTATGACCTGGACAGCCTGTTGCAGGATCACAAGCTTGGTCTGGGCCTTGTCGCTCTGCAGGTGGACCTGACACATCCTGCCCAGCTCTCTGAAGGCTTCGTTAATGTCGCGAACACGCACTCTCTCCCTAGCGTTGTTAGCTAGGCGGCGCTCACGCTCCCTCTGCTCCTTCTCCTCGGCAGTCAGGTTCTCATCAGTCACCGAGACAAGGCTGTAGCCAGGAGGAGAGGTGGTGGTTGGAGGGGCTGGTTAGCAAACCCAAATCACAACCCTCACTGAAGCTAGACTAAAATGTTCTCACCAACACTGCAGCTACTTAATTAACATCATAACACTGCATTTATCCTCGTATTTATCCCTCCAAGAACCCTTGCTCTGTTGCTGGGAGATATTTGATCTTTATGTACATCAATGATTGAAGCTAACTTCAGGCTCCTATCCCAAGACAAGACCAGTGGAATTGCAGGGCTGTGTTGCAGGAGAGTGAGCGGAGGAGTGTAAAATGTTTTGGGTTTTTTTCCCTCGATCTACAATATATAAAAGACAAATACATTACTGTAAAATGTAAGAATCGTGATTTGAAGTAGCTCAACCCTGGCAGAATCCAAGCCAAGACTGGATCAAGATGCAACAGTTGACCAGCGGGACCAGGCCTAAAAACTTTGTCATAAGGTTTAAACAACCAACAAAGGTACTTTTTGGTCATTTGGGTCCAGGATGGAAGTTGTGGGGATATGGTGACTGTCCAGCAGAATGAGAGAAGTAATGACAAGTGAGACAGAGAGGGAGAGAGAGAGGAAGCAACACCCTCTGCCAAATGCAGTACATAGAAAGAGCCACAGAGAAAGAGCTACTAGGAGGGACTGAAGGCATCATGTTAAATACATCAGCAGGAGGAGATGTATTTATCTGAATGTGAGGAAGAGCAGGTCGCCGTCTGTAAAAGGAAAATGAAAGAAGGAGGGGGAGTGAATGGCAAAATGGAAGGGCTTTCTTGAAAACAGAGTATTTGAAATTAAAGGGTTAATGTTTGAAAGGCTGGAACATGCAGCACAAAGACACCGCCACAGAGATGAAGGCAGATTAACAGACATGCTGCTTTCAGGCTGTAAAGTATGCCGAGAGCAAAAGGTTATAAAAGCCACATTAAAATAATGAAAAAACTTATTTGAAATTAAAATGACTTCATAGTTTGATAAAAGCATAATGAAGCAACAGTGGAAAAAAAAAAAAAAGCAAATGAGGACACATAAAGGTGTTAATCCACACCGAGGGTGAGGCAGACAGACATGGAAGCATTTTCACAGTGAGACAGGCAGCCAGCTGTAAGTGAGGTAACACATAGTGCATTAGAACAATCAGCAGTCCTGTATGTGTTACCAGTTTTAAGATGAACTGGAGAAAGGGCACCTCTTTAAAACAGTCACACAGCTTAATTTCCCAATCCCACGTCCTTGCTTTAACAGACTACAGGAAGTAAAATGCTTAAGATCACTCATACTACCCACGTACAGTTTGTTTACAACTGTGAATGCAGTAAAATGAACTGCCACTATTCATCATGTCATCCACAAGGATTTAATATCAGAATAGCAGGACATGGCAGGAGCTGGAAAGTGAAGCGGTGTGGGAGTTTTATGTCGAGGCCCTTCCCCTCCACTTCCTTCCTCCCTGGACACCCACTGACCTCGAACTTGCTGCTCCAGGTTGAGTATAACGTTAACGGCCTGTTGCAGTATGATCAGTTTGGTTTGTGGTTTCTCATTGCTCACGTGGAGCTGACACATGCGGCCAAGCTCCTTAAAAGCCTCGTTGATGTCCCGCACACGTAGCCGTTCGCGGGCGTTGTTTGCCAACCTCCGCACCTTCTCCCGCTCAACCTTAATCTCCACTGGTAGATCTTCATCGTCATCCTCATCATCCAGACTACTGAGGAGTCAATGGCAGATGAGGAGGGAAGGAAACAACAGTGTAGGTACAGTGCACTCACAATTACACATGTCCCAGCTTCCTTAAAACATCCAAACTTCAGAGTAATTTCAGGATTTTTTTTCAAACTTGCTACAACTGTGGGGCTTGTTGGGGTAAAATTCAGTTACAAACAACTCAACACTTTTGGGAATACACAGTCTCTGGAATAATCAAACCCCATTTCTGCACAGTATATTAAATGTGGATGTAGAATGAACACCACTAAATTAAAAATTAAAATGGTGTCTGGTGATATGTTGCTTCCTCCTGAATGCACAATGTCTACTTTAACTTTAGGTTTAGAAAGTGTAATTTACTGAGTGAGAAGAACGTGGAGGTTAAAATAGAATATTAAAAGAAATTCTGAGTTTTTCAAATGTTTGATTAAAAAAAAAAAACATGAGGCACGTGTAGACCAAATGTCCAACGTCTGGGTTAGTATAAATCTAAATAAGGTAAACATACAATCATGATAAAAACTGTACAATAAATTAAGCTTAAGATGAAGGAACTAATTCTGCACGACTATTTTTTTATGCTTTCATTCCAATTTTAGTCTTTGAGTTAGTAGTAGTATGTAATATGTGGCATACCAGAGTTTGGTTTCTTCATTAAAACAAAATTTTTTAATCGAACAAAGGTTTGTCACTCAAATGGCTAAAATAAGTTTTACTCTACATGAGAGCTACTGTAAGAAGTGGTTTGTATCAGGTAAATCTCTTTCCATGTTAAAGAAATCGAAGCCCTTTTTATATTTACGCCAGAATAGCAACATCTACTAAGTTCACTAAAACCAACACAGGACAATGTAAATGGAGGGATAAATACTGACTACACTACTACACGAATCCTGCCAGATTTACAGTAAGAAGTCTATTAATATGAAGTTAATGGCTCTCTCGAGTAATCTCAAGCAATTTTCTGACACATATGACAGTTAAAGACAACATGAGACAAATCTAATGCATTAATAAATAAAAGGTTTAGAAAGATTTTGGACACCTGGTTCGAAGGTGAGCCTTCATGTCTCTTTTCTCATCCTCTGACTTGTCTGTAATGGAGCAGTTCTCATCATCTTCCTTATCCTCTCGTTTGATAGCAGCACCACTGGAACGATTTACGCTACCAGGCAGGCCTACACAGAGAAAAGGCATCGGGTACTGACATGTTATAAAACACAAACAATCTAAAAATATTACTGGCCAAATGCGGGAAAGTACAACTAATTTTTTTTTTTCTTTTACAATAAAGAGGGCATCAAGAAAAGAAAGTCCCACCTGTAAAGCCTTCAGGCTGAGAAGCTGGTTGGACAGACGCAGCACCGTGGTGACCATGCAGAAGCCCTCCACTAGAGGGCAGACCAGCAGAGTCCTCGTGGTGACTGGACACCTTCAGGATGACAATTTATCTTAGTATTGGCATAACAGCAGCAAACACGCATTTCAACTTCCACTGTTTACTTTTACTTTATTTTTAAATATCAAACTTAATTAGGTCTTTTTGTTTCTATCCGACTATTCATAAATCTCACCAGTCCTGGCAGACGACTGGCCAGTCCAAGTGCAGCACTGCTGAAGCCTGGTGGTAACCCTAAGCCAGATGAGAGCAGACTTTGCATTTCAGCGAGTCCTGGCCCCCCTTGTCCACTGGCGTGACGCTGAAGAACGTTGATGGCTTCATCCAGGCGGTCCTCTAGTTTACTCGGCTACAGAGAATAAAGATCAGAGTGATGAGACAAGGTGATGCATAAATGGTCGCAGGATCTCTCACTAAAAGAAATGGAGTGACAGGCTGACTCACCATAGACTGAATTCCACCATCAAAGTTAGGTGAAGGAGTGGCCTGGCCAGAGGACCGAGTCCACTGGGATGCAGAGCCTAAAGAAAAAAGAGGATCACAAGGTTTAAAAACTCCTAGAATTTGTACTAGATCAGCCAGTGAGAATCACAAAGTGTAACTCACAAAAAAAGATGACTGATAAAACTGGGGGCTTGAGCTTGGACCTTACAGGTAAATGATGCTCTTCATACACGGTGCTACTGTATTTCGCAACTTGTGCTAATGAAAAAGTTATATGATGTACATAGATGATCGAGGAATCTCAAAAATGTATGCTTTATGTTGTTCCTATAAGACAGCCAGATGGAAAAAAAAGATCTGTTCTTCAACACCAACTTTGTAACATTGTGCAGAGTTACTGTGGAACGGTTTCAGGATATCTTTGATATTTATTTTATATCCTCTAAATTAGTTTGCCAATAGGAAATATGGCTTGGATTTCTAAACATTCCTTTTGCTATTAGTGAAGCATTCCTGAGAGATATCTGTATGCTGTTGGAAAAAAACAACCAAAAAAGAACACACAAAAAAAATAACATACCAGTTTCCAGATTGAAAAAAAGGAGGAATTTGTAGACATACAGTCTAGCAGAACAACAACGATACCAAACAGGTGCTAATGAGCAACAGCATAACATGTAGGCTGAACCAAAATCATTAACTGAAACAGAAACAGCTGGTGAGGCTGAGGTTTTAGGAGAAGTGACAGTTTAATCTAAAAAATCTAACACCACAGAAAGACTGAACACAGCAACAAGACGCAAGGTGGTCATCCTGCATCATCAAGGTCTCTCACAGGCAGACATTTTTAAGACAGACAGATGTTTTAAGATGTGCTGTCCAAGATCTTATGCAGAAGCACAAAGAAACAGGCAAGGTCGACGACCAGAAATGTAGTGGCCGGCCAAGGAAACTGAATGCAGCAGACAAAAGACACACCAAGCTGAATTCCCTTCAAAGTCAAAATCTATCCATCCCAGACGCTAGCTCAGAACTGGCAGACACGAACAGGACCCTGGTGCACCCATCTACAGTCTGGAGAAGTCTGGTCAGAAGTGATCTTTGCAGAGGACAAAAGCCATTCCTCTAATGACAGCAGGTGCTCTGGACTGATAAGTCATAAACTGAAATATTTGGCCCCATCAGAAGACAGTTTGTTGCCAAAGGGCTGACAAGCGATACGAGGATGAGTGTCTGTAGGTAACAGTGAAGCATAGGGAAAAGTTCCTTGCAGGTTTGGGCTCAGTTCTGTAAATAAAGCTAGGAATTTGGTCTAAAATAGTGACGCAGACACCCACGTTGGCTTCCTGATTGGGTCTTATTAGTCATTGTGTGCCCTTCCCTGATCCGTCATGCCTTATATCACGTGACTCTACAACTAAGCAACCGACCCTCTGCTTCCTATTTACGCTGGCACACACATGCCCAGAGTAGTTGAAAAACCATTTGTTTTCAGGGCTGTAAGTAATGACAGAGATTATTTCTGAACAGATTCTAATCCATTGTTTTAAAATGTCAGGTTACAATGAATATGTATTAGTGTGGACGGACGCCAAATCTGTGACTGGGGACAAAAAAAAAAAAAAAGATTTCCTAATTTTATAATGACTGATTTCATCACTATGCTATGCCTCTAATCTTGTGGCGGCAGAAGAATTTGATGTATGAATTGTGTGATGAGCTCATGCATGGACTCAGATACAAATAGGGAAGTGACCCCACCCTCTTTTTATTTTTACTGTATTTTCCCTTCCTCTCTCATAAGTTATATTTGGGTGGTGTGTGTGTGTGTGTGTGTGCACTATATTTACGAGGACCAGATTGAGTTTGAGCCCATCGGAGTGAGGGACATTTTGGCACTTTCTCACACGCCTTCAAAGGGCTGTTCGAGGGCTAAGACTCTGTTTGAAGGAAAGGTTAAAATGAGGTTAAGGTCAGGGTTAGGGAGAGGTGTGGGGTTTGGCACTGAGTTTAGGGTGAGGGGCTAATGAATGCATAATGTAAATGTATGTCCTCACAAAGAGAGCCATTCAAACGTGTGTGTGTGTGTTTAACAGTGTGTGAAAGATCAAGTGAAGGTTAAGCTGTGGATGAAGTGCTCAGATCACTATAGTTACAGTGTGTCAAAAGAAATCCACCATTGTTTGTGTCATTTTTATGATTTTTTTTTTTTTAATTACTGCAAGGTTTTAAAAAAATAAAATATTTCTCAATCAGAATATGGATATAAAACCAGCCCCAGGTAACCTTTAAATATCGGTGAGAGTTTGGTTAATAGGTCAGACATTTCTTACAACTAACTTGCTGCCAAATCCGATGACCTACAAGTCAAGATAGTCTTGCATGTCAAACTTATCTCAGTGCTATGTTTGTACAGTGCCAGCTCAAGAAAAGGTCTGAATGAACTCATTGACACGGGTGAGAAAACCCTTAAAAAAAAAAAGAAAAAACTTTTGTTCTGACTGCCAAACACTTAATCAACTACAACAACACCTGTCAATGTTTCTAACTTAGATTGATACTTGAGAATATTCCCCAATAACAGAGTCCAACAGATGACAAGATAAATGCAGGGCAGCGTTCAGTTATCCGTGCAATATATTGTAAGTAAAATACTTGACTGATAGTATTCATGCTGATCATGATGGGATTTCAACACATGAAAGTAAAGATCTCTCCAAAGACAAAATTAAAGAATTAGAGCTTATGCATGACTTCTACTTTTAACCCAACAGATGGAGCTGCATTGTCATTTCAAACCATACAGGCTTAGTCAGAGTAAAAACAATACATACAAGATTTTATCATCTCCTGACAGGAAAGCACAAGACCCTGGTTTGAACAAACAAAGGCACACAACAGCCAGCTGACCTTGAGGCCTCAGGAGAAAATGATTGCAACTATTCACTCACCTGATACAGCCTGAGGAGAGCCAGAGGGAGTAGACGGGGATGGAGGGAAAGCATTACTATTTGGGTCTGAAGGATAGATCTGGACACAGAATTTGGGATTTTTAATTTAATTGTACATTTATTGTGCAACAGAAATTCATCCAAATACAATCTTTACATCCTTGTCTATCAGTATGTATTTTATTACTACTTACAGACGCCAGGGCTTTTCCAATCTCATCGCCGGAACTTCCAGGTACTGCACTCCGATTTGCTTAACGAATGCAAAACAACACATTTCAATTAGAGCAACAGTCCAAAATCAACACTGCATGAAAACATAAACTGCACTTTTCCCAAAGAAAAGAGGACACATTAGGAGACTTACCCAGGATGGTTTCAGTGCCAGTGATAGGGGGTGTGTGGCTGGGGACTCCAAAACTGCTGGAGCCAGAGTGGAAGCCAGCGGGATGAGCCCCGTTCACTTCACTGCCATGCAGGGGGTAGTTTTGGGGAGAAAGGGGCAGCGGCTGCCGTTTCTTGGAAGCAAAGACAACAAATGATTTAAAAAGGAAGAGAAGCCCTCAGTGACATATTTATCAAAAAGTGTGTTAACTTCATAAAGAAAATGTTAAGTATGAAGGAAAAAGCTCACCAGTCTGTCTTGGGGGTTGATGGCAGTGAAGGGACCATGCTGGCTCAGATGGGGGGAGTTTCCCAGCAAGGCAGAATAACCAGGCTGAACCATCGACCCGGCAGAGCCCCATGGATCGGAGGATGGGTGGAGGCCTTCTGTCAGGGGGCATCCAGCAGACGAGGGGGGAGCAAGAAGGTTGAGGGATAACCAGCCACAGGAGATGAAAAGACAATGAAGGCCACATATGAGACATGTCACATTACTGTGATGACTTCATTCAACCGTGATGCACCATTCAACACTCAGGCACCACAGGGTGTTCGTTGGCATACAACTGCTGCACCTACGGTTCATCAGGACATCCATAACAACATAGCAGACCACTAATTTCCCAGCTGTGCTGGCTATAAAGCAACATTCCAGGTAATTGTAATGCATAAATGTGTACAATTTACCATTACATAGACATAGAATTAACAAAATTATCTTGGATAGACTGAACTTTTCAACCCAACCCAACACAATGAGCACAGGGAGATTCTGAAGGAAAGTTTCAACTGACCTTGCACGTAGAATGGTGGAGGGCAGACATTTCCTGCTTTGGAAGCTGGGTAGCAAGCGCTGTCCCGCTTAAAGTCTTCTCCTGGGGCTGATGCATAAACCTGCAACAAAAATAAAACAAATGAGTGAACCTGTTAAACTCAATGCTTCAAAACTTAATCTGCCAAGGCTACATAACAGTAAATAAGCTATATTTCTAACTAGTTATATGAATCACATGTTGTGCTTTCATATGGCATCTTTTAGCATACGCCAAGAAAGTTTACAGGAACCTTCTGAAAATCCGTTTTCCTTTAGACATAGTATTTGGGCCGGGCTAACTAGTTTTCAAAGTTTTCAAAAAAACCAAACAAATGAAGAAATGTGTATTAAATACTTGACAAAAGCAAAGTTCTTAAAAGCATGGGTTCCTGGTTGGAATCTATTCTGGTTTTACAGCTTAATTCAATAAACAGACGACTGAAACATTTCTGCAGACTTGAGCACAGAGCAGTATGTATTGAATGTGCGGAGTCAGCGCTTTTATTGTGCCTATTCTAACATCTTAGTGAGAATTTTACATATCAACCTGTCAAACAGATTCATACTCAGAATGAGTATTTCACTTTTGAACACAGTAAGATGCAACTATATAACAGACACTGCAGTTGGATTTGGTGCATGTTATAATGAGCATAAAGAAAGCAGTGTCCTGAACCACCACATCTTCCTCAATCAAGACTATTCTAGATGAAAATCAAGTATCAAACTGTGTCTGACAAACTCAAATCCAACTGGACTGAAGTTTTCTTCTGTAATTTGATTAAACAGAGAAAAAGAAGAAGAAAAAGAGGAGTGAGGAGAAGAGGGAACGGAGAGATGCACTCCTAATTACTGAACCATCTGCCGAATGCTGGATGGCAGCCAACTCCACTGGCAGCTGGGAGAGAGGGATGGGGGAGGGAGAGAGAAAAAGGGGAGGGCTGTTGTTCGTGGTGGTGGCGGGGGGAGGAGAGGGAGGGGGGGGGGGGGGGGGGGGGGGGGGGTGTGGGGTAGAGAAAATGAGGAAATAGGGTGCCCAGAGAGCAAGAGTGGGAGGAAAAAAATGGGGAGGAGTAAGAACCATCAAACCCCAGGATGAATTCTCTTCAGTGATCCAACGAGTAGACTTGGCAGAGGGGAAGAAATGTGGCCATAAAGTAAAGGGCCTACAAATACAACACACTATAAATACATATGGCAAATGAGTGACTGGGTGAATGAGTGGCTTTTCCCCCTATTCCTTTTTTTACTTTGGTGGTGCAGATGCACAGCTGTAAGAGCTGGAAGTCCTGTACTGCAGCTATTATACTGCTCTGCAAGCCAAGGAGAGGTTTCAGATGCCAAATGGAATGTGAAAAGGGGCGTAAAAACATGAAAACATGGGCTCCCATGGACTGAAGGCAAGGGTTGAGAATATTGCACAGGCATGAAGCATTTGTGGATGTTAGTACTCACAGAGGAGGGCAGGCCAGGGGGCACCTTCCTGATCTTTTTTGGCTGCGATTCTGCAGGGAGGGAGACAGAGGGAATCATATATGCCTGCTTACACAGAAATGACACAATCAGCAATGAAAGGACTCATTTAGGCAGCCTACGTCTTTGTGAAGTCCTGCTGAACCAATCTAACCAATAATGCTTCATCAAAAGGTAATCAGGCTGGTGTAACTCGGTGACTTTTCTCTTTGAGAACTTAGTGATTTCACTTTCTATTAGTAAGAAGAAGTATAATTTTTCAGTTACTTTTTAAAACCTCTGCAGGAGAAGTGATTGTACACACACACTTAAATATAAACCACAACATAGAAAACTTCTTCTAAATCCGAATCTGTGACGACAGACTTATCTTCAACACTATGCCTGAAACAGTACACTGTAATCTTACCAATGGGTTCCTGTGCGGGTCTCCGGCGAGGGTTGCTCCCCTCATATGAGGAATAGTATTGGGAGTTGGACTTAACCCCTGATGGGGAGAGTGCATCTGGACTGGGCATAGGTATCTCACTGGGCATAAATCCCGGCTAAAGAGATGTCAAAAAAATAGAAGTTAATGTAGTGAAACAAAAGCGATAGAAGGAAATAATTAGATAAAACTACATAATGCAATTACAATTATTCAAAACAAGCATAAAAGGAAAGGGAATGAAACTGCAGCAGAACACCTGCTTTCATACTGATCTACCTGTGTTCCAAATGACGAGTACGGCCCTCGTTCAGCCTTCCCTGTTAGGGGAAAAGAATATAAAATCACTTTATGATCGTGAAAATTGGGCTTTTATTTCCGTATTAAATCTCAATCTGGTCATTCCCCTCTCTCCCTTTGGGTCCAACCCATCTGGTATGTGAATGTATACGATGATGTGTGTTATTTATGGCTGTGGACAGCAAAAACACAACAAATTAGCCCATTATAAATGGTTCAGAGGCAATTGTGCCCGACTTCGGCCCCTCCCCTGACAGTTAAACAGAGGAGAGCTATAGGCCACTGCAATCCCAAGGGAGAGCCTTGTTTGTGCATGGGTGCCCTTTACACCCCCCACCCCTCCCACACTGAACACACAAACTGCAACACACAAACAAACCCCTCTTCCACATCCTCCCTGATTACCCTACTCCCTTCATCCATAAATATGGTTTGCCCTAAACTGGTACATTAGTGTCAAACCTATAAACGGCCGCTCTCTCGAACAAACAACTCATTGTTCTCGTTCAGTCACACTATCCATTGATATTAACTTGTGTTTCAGTCAACGTGTTCTTCCGTCTTTAGGGCCTATTATTAGCAACACTACCACCAAATTTCCCCCATTTCTCTTTGGTTTGTCAAAAACCTGATGTGAAAGTTTTGCTGCCTATATTTCAACAGCTCTTTAAGTCTTCTTACCAGCAACTCCTGATCCAAATATGGGGGCAGAGGCCAAGCCCTCTTGCTCATTGTAAAGGCCTTCCTCTCCATAACCCTGGTGGAAAGAAAGCAAGGACATTAGGGATGCAAATACAAACAAATAAACACCAAAGCAGCTAAGTAAGAAAAATCACCTCCTGTGTGTTCATGTGAATAGTTGGAAAAAATAAAAAATAAAAAATCCCACACTGGCTCTGAGGCCCTGTGCTTGACCCGGAAGGTCCGACAGAGTTCTCTTTTGGGAAGCAAAGTGTGAATGGGCGAAATGTGGCCCAGTGTTGTGGAAACAGACAGAGAAGCATGTGACTTTAACACCACTTAAGCTTCCAAAAATAAGGGCAGAATAAAAAAGCATGTATATGTGAATCAATGAGGGGACTCTAACCTTCCTCAAGTTAAAACATTAAGTACATGAAACATGGATTTCACTGGTGCTGCTTTGTTATCTTGCTGTGCTGTATTCATCTGCAGTGGTCTGATTGCACAGGACCTCAGAGCCTTGATGATACTTTGGTACAGACATGCACACTGGATCGTAGTTGTTGCTATTATGCTACTTTTCTAGTCCTTTGAAAGACTCTGTTTCATACATTTACATTAGGTCACATCTACGTATTCCACGTATACACACTACAGCGAGTCTTGGACTCTTATGGACCTGGTGGGACAACAAAATGTATGTCCCATGGATGCCTTAGTTGTTGATCTTATGGTCTTCCACTCCTAATACTCACAACCCCAGTAGCGGACAAAAATGTACACTACATTAGGTAGAAACTTAACGAATTATGTGCCTAATCATAAAGTTAGGTTGTGAACACAACGTGGTTTTACACAAGATTTGAAGATGTCTTTGGGGTGACTAAACTTAAATAACTGTCAACCTGTTGAAAACACTATACTTACTAAGGGATTTGTCAGGGTTTTTAATGTTTAAAGTAATAAGCTTATACAGCATAAGTCACATGTGATTTGATTTTTCATTAGGTATGAAGCTCCTCCAGAATACCCTCCATTCTACATATTTTGGGAGAAAAATGTTCTGGCCCAATCAGAACCACAGTCAAACTATGAGTATCTGGTCATTTGAGTAGTTTGAGGACAAGGTCTTGCCTCTTCCAAACTGGTGCTAGGTTTATTAAGGGCAGTAACTGGAAACCTGTTTGATATTAGTAGATGTCTGTACTGTACTTTCAACACTTCTTGAGTTGAAAAAGTGGAACGATACACAGCCAGATAAGAACCAACTGTCTATGAGACAGTGTTGGTGTATTTCTTACTCTGGAAAGACAATTTCTATGTGAAGGTGTAATGTCTAAGTTCTAGTGAAAACCTTTTTCTTGGCAGCCAACAGTATGAAAGTAATGACGTGTAACCAGGTGACAGGCGGGTATTTCCCCACAACCAAAGTGTTTGTGCGTAAGTAGTCAAATGTAGAACACTTTATGATGGTATGTTAGACACTGTGTTTGGTTGTAAGAGGGGCTGTAAAGTGTGTAATCACCAAATTTTGACGTTTAACCAGATAACATCTCCACAGCTAGGTTCATTGTAGTAAGTGAGGACAAACCGTACCCTTCCCTGGTTGAAAGATGGACTGTTCTGCTCTCCCGGCCCCCAGGGACTGGACCCACTCCTCTCATCTATACCTGGAAGACAAAGAACTGGGTTAGGCCTGTTAACCACTAAACAGCAAACACATTCTTAATAGAGATTCACGCCTTGGCTTTGCTCGAAATGTCTGACTTGAGGGAACGATGACCTGCTTTGATACAGGTTTTTCAGGCTGCTCAGAGTAACCTCCAGTGAAGAGCTTTACTTCACAGCTCACACAGAGACAGCATAGTGACAGTGCTGTCACATAGCGTGGATATGAGCTGTAGGAAGTTTGAATAATTAACACCCAGTATGAGGCTCCCAGAATCATCCTCAACATTCTTCATTCTCCCACTCCACTCCTTTACATTTTCCATGGCAACAGTCTTTCATAGCTCATCTATTCTCTCACATTTGGCCTACACCTTGACTTCAAGACAGACTCAAGGTCCCAGTCGCACATAGCTGACACGCGTTATCCCTGGTCAGAGCACCACAGCTTTCAGAGAGGTGAATGTGTTTGAAAGGAGTGATTTTGAGAATTGGTGAAGCAGAAATTCCTGCCCGTCCCCTTTCTCTCAATCTCGTCTCGTACTGCAACACAGCATCTCTGGGGGAAAGCTGAAGCTTAATTGCGTACTGATTTGCATAATTGTGCATATTAATGAAGCTCGGCTCTATGAATATTCATATTTTGTTTTGTTGTCTAATTAAAAAGCGGAGGGGGAGAGAGGGGAGGGGAGGGGGGAGGCGGGCTAGAATCATGACAGGATCAGCAGTAGAACAGAATGATGGGTCCACAACACTGAGGGCTGCTAGATTGCTGTGACAACTGTGATCTATACGCACGACACCAGCAGAATAAGAGATGAAGGAGACAATGTCTTGTCCCCTCTCTATGGCTGACTGTCACTCTACATGTCAATCAAAGATGATAAAGAAAATGCATCAAACATTGGTTTCTGCTGTAAGTCATCAAGCTCCAGACAAGAAAAGGCTCCAATTCAATGTTTTGTATTCATCACTGCATACACTTCTGTAGTTGATAAATATAATTGTTCCACACATCAACTAACCAGAAAGAAAAACAAATCCTTAATACCTAATCATTAAAAGAGTCGGTTTTTCTGATATTACATTCTAAATATAAATGAGTCCATCACAGTGTCAGTATTGTACAATAAAATTTAAATTTAGACAAGCAGAAATCTCTTTTTGGAGGCATTACAAGGAGTCGGTATGTTTCATTGGCCACACACCTACCTTATTACCATGTATTCAGAATCATGCAGCATATCAGAACTATCTCACTAATTAGCAAGACATGAACATGTGGCTTTTTCCCTCTATGGGAGGCTTGAAAATAGTCAGGCAGAAGAAAGAGCAACACCAACTATCATGATCTGTTCCATATATAGTGGGGGTATGCAAAAAAATAACAAAACAACAACTCCTCAACCCTTCGTGCGTCAGAAAACCTTTCTCCATACACTCAGGTTACCAGCAAATTTAATGGTACAGATTATGATTATTGCAAATATTCACACTTGAAGGTTATTTTTTCATAGCATAATGGACAAAGAATGAAATAGGTGGCATAAAAGAATAATTAAAATTATAGCAAACTAACTCACATCTCTCTGTAATTAATGATCTGACAAAATTGCTACAAGTTACATTAACAGCTTATTAGTGCTTATTGGTAAGAATTTACAAGGGCTCTTATTATTCTGCTCTTTTTATTGTGTCTTTTTATTATTACACTGAAATAATATGAAATTCAATCAACACACACATATATTGTGGGTGTCGACCATTGGAGTAGAGTGATAGCAAGAAAAGATAAGCCCATATATACTGCAATCTTCTATGTACACTACAGTGTTATAATGCAGGTTGACATGCAGTAAGTTTCACATCCCTGTAACTGCCTGACACTCACTGTTGAAACAAACAACAAAAAAAAGGTGTGGTTTCAGCGGGAAATTATTTAAACTACGTTGGTGCTCCCAACATTACTATGTCAGCAGCTTCTGTAACGTTTTAGACAACCTTTACACTATCGTTCCACAAAGTACTTAAATATCAACTGATAGCAACAGATTCATAAGTGTAGAAAACATGTAAAAATGACATCACTTTCTAGTTGTGGTCCAGGAAAAAAGTAAACTACTTGGTCATCTCCTCATATTTTTCCATTTTCTTGAACTTTGCTTGTGTTACTTCATGTGGACGGATAAGTATTGCATTTAATAATCACCTTTAAACCTGCCACTGTAAAGAGAATGAGGCCTGTTCTTCACTACGAGCACATCGTTTTTGTCAAAACGGAGTTTGGATATGTTTGTCTCCTCTTCCTCTCCATCTCCAGCAGGGTTTCCTTGATTCTGACTAATTATGCTCCTCATAATGTGTTACTTTTCATTCACAGCATTACTCCTTCATCTCATTCGCACCCATTTTCATGGTTTTCGTTTCTCCCTGCTTTTTCTGCGTGGAGGTCATGATTTAATGTTACACAGAACTATGAAAAAAAAAATTCAAGTTCTTGAACAATACAACACATCATATTGCTGTATATGTATATGTATACATGATATTTATACAGAGGTATGGCACAAAACATTTGACTTTCAACAGAATTAACTGTGTAATTGCGAAGAACAAAATGACACAATGTCCCTTTTATGAAACAAATCTTGATTAGTACCACAAGAAGTGCCAAAACCATGAGAAAAACATGACTAGTGCATTATTCAGCCTACCACAACTGAAAAGAGAAAATAAAGAGAAGGGTGAGTAACATCAGACAAATTCTCCGGAGAACCCCAATGCACTTCTCCTCCCAGCATGCAACGCCCCTTTAAGCATGGCTAGTCTATAATTACACAGGAAGAGATACTGGAAACAGCCAGCCAGCCAGCCTGAGTCATAGGCTTCATGAGCTAAACTCAGGCACATACATTGACCAAACTTGCAGACATGTCTTCGTTTTTACAGGAACACTGCCCGGGCACCTATAACTGAGTGTGCCGTTTGTCTACACAACTTCTTCCTTCCCCTTGGTAAAGTGAGTCACACAGACACAAAGCATGATGTCAGATAAAATCTCAAGAGAGTGAACACTGTTAATGAAATACTGAACAATGTACAATAACACAGGCATGGCTGTTTCGACCTGTGAGTCACCGGAGACTTTTCAAACACAACACAATGCACCCTTACCAACTAACATACACAGCTTAGATTACATATGAATGTCCCCTGACACTACGTGATCCTAAATACATTTAAACAACATGTGAAAGGAATGTCTCTTTAAAGCAGCAAATTTGCTTGTGACACTAACACCCTTTAGTTTCTGAGATTCGCTAACACATCTGGTCGAAAAATGGAACATTGCATGCAAATTTTCAACTCCTCCTCTTCTGCATTTCTGCCCATACCAAAGTTTAAAAATACATTTTAGGATTCTCAGTTTCCAGTGACCAAAAAATGAAAGTGCAATGAAAAATAACTGAGTGCAAGGGATTGAACAGACACAAGACCAGAGCAGAGATATTATCATCACAGAAGGCTCTAAAAGGGAGGTTCCCCACAGCAACACATGTTAAACCTCCACATACCCCAAACCTCGACCATACTGGGTATCTGACTGACTCTATAAGGAAAACATGTAGCAGCTGCTCCACAAAAAGGAGCACAGTCTGACCAAGTCAGGTTCTTTGAAAGGAATCATATGACAGCATATCTTTTAGTAACCAGAAAAACAGACTAATTTATATGACCAACTTCGCTACATATAGACAGTATTAAATTGAACACAAAGATGCATTTTCCACTCAAATTGTTCCTGTAACCACATACAGTATCTGTATAATCTAACAGCACTGCACTGTCCTATCCCACTGTCACAGTATCTGAGAACAATGGTATGGCCTTATGGGAGCTGGAATAGTTTCACATTTTGGGAAATACACTTAATTTGTAAAATGAAATAAGAAAAACTTGCACACAGAAAAGTGAAAAGGACAAACAGGGAGTTATGTGTATTTCTCAACAATCGACTTGCTCTGTAGTGTTTCTGCCTACATCATGGGTTGACAAACACGTTCAGAATCAGAGTTTTTAGGTCACTGTGAGCTGATGGAGGCAAACTGGGCAACATCACTGCCATGACAAGACTCCAGGAAGTCCATAAGTCACACTGATGCTCCCAAAAAAGAAAGAAGGAAAAAAAAAGTTCCAGCAGCAAATTCCTCCCAAAGCCACAACTTGTTGCCTTTGCATTTCTATTTGTAGACAGACAAAATAACGTGATAAAACTTATTAATTAATAAGCTTTCAAGAAAGTTGGTAGGTATATTTTTAAACTTTGGAAAAGTGTTTTAACCTTCTTTCAGCCCCAGTGCCTCATAAATTCACCCTCTGTAAGCTTAAAAGGTGTCAATTAAAATTCTCTAGTTTGACCATTCACAAGGACGAGTCACTCCGACGAACTCAAAATCCTGTTTTTACAGCAAATAAAAAGTATAAGGGACCCAAATAAACTTTTCATGCTACTATTACAGTGCCTCCGATACACTAATTTACTTATGGTGGGCGACCACAAGATCAGCATTGACTGCCACAAATGAAATTTCTTTTTTTCACTGTTTAATTGGGTAAAATCTTATTTCACTGTAGTGCTGCGCACAGCACATTGATTTACTCAGCCCATCCGTGCCCTGCTCTCTCTCTCTCTCACAAACACATTGACTCGTCTGTAAAAAGCCCCTCCTCTCTGTGCACACTGAATCAAAACAGGATCGTGCGCGGGAGGAAGGATTGTTGTTGACTTTTCCCCGCAGAGATGAAGGTTGGCTGAATTTTAGAATGGAATCAATCCAGACTTCCCAAATGGTTAGCATCATGAACAAATCTGCACAAACTGGTCCAAAACTGACATATTCAAGTTAACTGTGATAAGTTACTGTATGTTCCTAACACAACACTGTCAGTCTTGGAGGTGTAAATCTTTAAATAAGGTATTAGTAACCATGTAAGGAGCCTGGCTATTAAGGTTAGTTAGAAGTTAACAATAGATCATAGCCGGATTGCTTGTCACTGATAGCACAACATCGACTGCTTGTGCAAGCAGATAGCGTGAATGTTAATTCTTCAACCCTGATGCCAAATGTTTGCTCTCTGACTTGAATATCGCAAAAATATTTTCAAAGTCTTCTCACTTGCAAAGAAAGTCTGGACTAGAAGTATTTGTTTTTCAGTTATTTGACACAAAGTAAACCCACAAAACTGTACTGCTGAGTTATCTGTTTGTCAATAAATACAAAGGCATATAAAATAATTGCAGTGGAACACCTCATATTAGGTATTATTTAATAACTGATTTAAGAAGGCCAGCCCCACCCCCACAAACAGACTCTAATTCTGTGTGAAACACTACAATACAAACACGCCTGCGTCCAACTCTATTTTACTCTCTGTAGGCTTCACTAGCTATCATTTTGCTAAATACAGAGCATAGATGGACAGAAGTGGATCTTGATGCAGAAGAGAATTTTTTTTTCCTGCTGTAAGACTTTTGTTGTTCTTTGTGACGGATAAAAGTACAATTTTTTACAGCGAAAAAGGGGAATTGATGGTTGAAGAATGATGCCATGAGCAGCCGTTGGATTGATGACATCTACGCGTCTCTTTTGTAAGCACACACCTTGCCAAGACAAAAGAACATGTAAGTGGCCCTCAAGTGAATAGATGAAATAGAGCCCCCTATACCCCACCCAGCCACTGAATGTCTTCTCTTTCATCCTATCCTTGTATATCCTGTTTCGTTTGTATTGCCTGTTGAAAGACCTACTGCACTTTGAGAAATACAAGAGAAAGGTAGAGAAAGGTTCATATCAGGCAAATGGACTGGCTGCAGTAATCATAGAGATGACAGCTAACAATATTTTTGTATATGACGGCATTACCAAGGAGCCAGAAACACCACAAAATAAAGAAAATCTTCCTATTTTGAATGTCTCCGAGTCTGTTCATTGTATGATACATCCACATCTTAAAACTGTCTGTAGGGGTTGTGCTGGTAAAGTCGATGATGAGGATGGATAATAGCTCTGGGTGAAAATGACTTATGTGGAGGAGAAAAGTAGGGTGCGAGATTGCGGGACATGGGAATACACTTTTTCACAGAGTAAGCAGAAGAGATTAATTGGGCTGTTCCCGCCAACCCCCACCCTCTGGCTTTGTCCTTAAATGATTGAATGGCAACAGCTGAGAAGGTGAGGGGAGGGACACCTGCAAGGCGAGGATGACGAAGTGTAGACGAGAAGACGCTTGATCTGCATAACATAAAATCAACTAGAAATCTTGCCTGAGATCCTCTTTAATAATCTATGATCTGAAACTCGATTCATGAGCAGAGGACAATTTCCCTTATTAAAATTCAAAAAAACAACCTATGACTTAGGATGGGATAGTGAGATTAGACGAAGCCTTTCACTGGTTTATTTACTGGGAGCATTAAAAAATCATAAGACCACTGTGTCTCAATAGCTTTAAGTGGGTGAAAAGTAATTAAATATGTGATGACGCATCTTTTTTTAATCAAGAGAATTTGATCTGTAAATATAAAGAATGTATTCTCATTGAATAAACTGTTAAAAGACAGTTACCAAAGCATAAGACATCAGGGGGACAGCAGAAGTGTAAAACGGTAACAAACTCTTCTGCCTTACCTGAACCTCCAAACTGACTGCTGGCGAGAGTAGTCGGCCGGTTCTTTCCATTTGAAACGGGAGGCTCAAACATCTGAAAAGAAATACATGAAACTGTCAACAAACCACTGGAAGTCAAGACTTTGCTGAGTTTGGCCCTCCTCATTTGTGCAAAAGCCTGTTTTAATGGTCATTCAAACTATCCTATATAACTAAAATCTACAAGGGGCAAAAAGCAATCTATCTACTCCGGCTTTGCTACGAAAATTAAAGTGACAACAATCTTGTAAAAAAGTGTCTCATGTACGCACTGCACTCCTTTAAACTCTTGTCGACCATAAATGCCGTTCATTCGTATTTCAAACTACTTGACAACTGTTCGGGACATAATATGAGTTGAGTATAAGTATTATGAAGTTAAAAGAATTTGTCATTCTGTGAACAAGTAATGAACTGTTTAAGAAGCATACTCGACAAATTCAAGCAATCTTCAGAGGAATCTTACCGCGCTAAAATCCAGCAAGTCGCTGAGCTCCTTGTCTGTCTCCACTGCAGCCATTCTCTGCTGCTGTTCACTCGGCCCTTTCAGTCTCAGCAAGCGACTACAAGCAGAGGTAAGGAGATTATGAGTTTATTTTGCCCAAATGTAAGATGGTTAACTATTCTGACCAGCAAAGGGACACTACATGTCTCAATACCATGGTTTCAATCATGTGACAATATGCTAATTATGGCGACTGATGTTTTCTATAATATCTAATGAAAGCTAAATAGGTTGAAATGGTGTAAATGTAAAAACATTATTCATGTAGCTATAACATCCCCATAGACAGAGGTATTCACTGTTTGTTCCCCTTAGCTCAGATTGCAGAGTATTTCATTTATCATTTATCTTGTGGATTTTTTTAAATTAAACAAATTCCATCTTACTCATCATGTTGTCCCATCATTCCTACTGCTCATGATGACATTTCATTCAGTGGCTGAACTCGCCAAATGAGGACATAACAATGTCAGAGACAGCTTGGTGGTTGAAAAAATAAAGAAAATAAATAAATAAAGGCTGTCACAACCAATAGGAGTGATGACAAATACAATGACAAAAAGGCTGAGATTGTAATTAGAATCTTGCTTTCTTGTCACAAACCATTAAAAAAAAAACACACAATCTCAAATAATAACTGAACTTCCATATAATATTGATTTCTCCCAGGTCTCCATAGTAGATGTGTTTCAGGCAAGTGACTCAAAAGCATTTACTTTGCTCAATGTGACATAAGAAATGTCAATTAAATGACATGATGCGAAGGTAGACATATATAATCTACACCCAAGTCAGCTTTTCAGGGAGCGTTATGCAGGCTCAGGCAATCCTTCTACAAATGATACAGTTAACTGAACTGCTTACAGTGCATCTACCATTCAAATGGTGCATCCTTGCCTATAACCAGCAAAGTGCTGACCAAGGAATGAAAAATCTGACCAGTTCTAAGAGTTTTCTAGGTAGCCCACATCTAACATGGGTGACCATGGTTCAGCCACAGGCCACACTGCTCTCGTTGTTAATCACACCCCAGGCTCAGGCTGCTTCCTCCACCTCAAAAACCAACTTTCTCTAGTTGCTCTTTTTGCCGAAATTTATAGAGTGATAACAAACACGCTGGACTCTCAAATAAGCAATGTATGACCCACCTATATCATAGCAATTGCAGTCCATGTGGGCGAAACAACTTAAAAAGTATAATTTCTACATTGAGTGGACAAACCAGCAGCAGAAGTGGCGGTAAATACCACCATGGGGAAATTATGTTGTCATTTCTTACAGTGTCAAAGAGGTTGATTACATTCGGAGATGATTTAGAGAGTGGTGCTGTCAAGCAAACATACATTAAATTTCTTTCAGTTAGTGCTGGTCAGGGCTGCTGCTCCCCTCAGCAAATGCAGGCTTTCTGAGTTTGAATTCATTATTTGTGAGGCTTGCCACTTTGAATAACTTTGTAGTGTTTGAGAACGATGTGCAGCTCCGCAAGTTGTTACAACAACTGGCTTTGGATGCTTTTTTCCATAAATGTACAAATGATACAATGAAATAACACACAAAGAAACTAATTATTCAATCGTTTAGGAGTACCAATAATACTCTCTTAATTTATGATGCATCAGTCAGTGCCACTGTCAAAATATGTAAGGAAAAAATATTCACGACTGTATTTCAAAATGAGGACATTGGGGGACAGTATCAGTGACCAACACTTTCACTCGAAGACATTTACTTGAACTCACAACAAAATGCAACCTAAGAAATAAGTAGAGTATTGAATCCACCACAATAACAGCTGATCTACAGACGCTAAATATTATGAACTCGTCCATAATAATCCAATGGAATGTGACGTTTGCTGTTTCGTGTGCCAATACAGAGGCAGTGAAGCACACCATTTTATTTTTGTTGTGTTTATTCTTATTATCCTTCTGGCCATATTTTTGGCATGTAAGGACTAATTCTTGTTTTCTCCATTTGTGCACTCAGACCAATGCAGGCTTTGAAAGCAGAGAGCAGACACGCATGCTTTCTACCATCAGTATGCATTGGCCTGCTATGAGAATAGTTGCATTGCCCCTCATATCGAACAAAGAAAAACGCACAGGGACATAGTAGCTGGTTTTAGATTACACTGCAGAACCATGTTAATGTGATTATTCCTAAAGTGTGCTGCGCACAGTGGGTGGATAGGGTAGGATTTCTGAAGAAATTACGACCTTGGGCTCCGTCAATGGAAAGCATGTAAACATCAAAACACCTCTAAAGTCCAGCAGACACCACTTTAATTACAACTCTCTTAATGATGAACTTTAATGGTTTGGATGATGGAAAATTACTTGGTACTAGTCTCGCTTAGCCAACCCATTCAGTAGAATGGTCTGGCTGCACCTCTCGATCATTCTGCTATTGGCTCTGGCGTGTTTGTATTCCTTTAAACCAATCACAATTAACTTAGGTGGAATTAAACAAAGATGTTCCACCAAGGCAGTGGGGGGTGGAATTGTTTTGGTGGAACATTTGCATGCAGGGAGGGGAGCACCGTCTTTAAAATGGATAATTCACTGAAAATAAATAGCAGGGCTGCTTTATGCACGATCCCAATCCTTGTTAAAACTTGACAATTTCAGTGTGGTAGGTTGCTAGGCCAGAGGTTGTTGTTGTAGTAGCTGTTTCCCATGGTGAAAGTGATTTTGAAACCACACAGATAACAGAAGGGAAGGACAAAGCTGCCTAAAATGAGCAGCCAATAGCAGCCTTGAACCCGATGGCTAAATCTAGTAAGTCACACTGCCTCACTGTCACAAATTTTGAGCTGCACATAGACCCCTACGAATCTGGGTGGCAAAATGTATGTCTTGTTTATCCTCACGGACACTAACACATACGCGGAAAGCTCTTCCTACTGAAGAGGTGAGAATCACCATAGCAACCAGAGACACTGCAGATGATTGGCTGATTGGATGTCTTCTTTCTCAGTCTAGCATCAAACATGGCGGCCCCCATCAGTGATGTATAATGTCACTATTTCATCCTGCCATTTTAAGGCAAATCAATATAAATATACCTAATAATATTAACAAAGCCTTGTTATATGTTCTAAGAGTTCCCAGGCTAAAATCCACGATAGTTGCTTCTCTGGTGTCATTTGTAACAGCTGCCATTGTGTTACTCCAGTACTTTAAAGTACTAAGTAAGTCCAGTAAACTACTCAGTCTAGTAAACCAGACTTTTAAAAACAAACCTCCCAAACGCTGAAAAGATGCTTAGCAGACCTACATCTGCCTCTCTCTTTCATGGGCACAAAAACTGATGGGCAAACCATCTGTATGTTTGGGTTCACCTTCAAAATAAGAGTTCATGCGTAACAGAGCTTAGGGAGATACTCTACAGAGGCCTGGATTTTAAAAAGATAAAAAACCTCAAGTCCATAACTGAGGACAACAAGATGAAGTTGTGTGAGTCAGATTTTTTTTAAAAAAGGAAGTTTCCAGTATTCTTTGTATCTATCAAAATAAAATCAATAAAATATGAATATGTTGGCTTTTCAAAATAAAATACACACATATGCAAGAGAGCAACAATATTAGTGATTGATTAATAGTAATACACTAAAACCAGAATAAAGTATTTGAAATAAAATTAAGTGGAGGTTTTTGAGTAATTGATGCCAGTACACTTTTAAGATCTTACTTAGGGGATTTCACTGCTACCACCTGAATAACTGGCTTGGCTTAAGATTTGCTTTTAGTCTAAAATAATACTATAATAACACAAATGGAAACTACAACAGCATTGCCCGTCTTGTCAAAGACATGTCGTTTTAATACATCTGTCTTATACATATTATACAGCAGCGCTACTTTTACCAGTAATACTCGTGTAGGTATTTTGATTCTTGTTTTTAACAAACATTAAGCAAAAACCATGACAGCATCCAAAATCAATAATAAAACGGGGGGAAAAAGCATCCCATTCTGAAGGCAGGAAAGGATGCAAACATTACATGAAGCCTAACGGGATGTAAAACAGTGGTGCAGCGGCTAATAATGACAGAACAACAAGTGTGCCGTTATGTAAGAACAACACGTTGACAGCACATAATCTAGAAATTTCTGTGTCTCAGTGAGCTGAGGTCAAAATGGGGGATAAGTGCTTTTAGCCCCTCCAAATGGAAGTTGCTGGTCTTGAGCACCCCCCCAACCTTTGGCCTGCGCGTTTGGGGAAAAGTTGGACGGCACAAAACGTCCATCAAAACAGCCCAAACCTGGCGACGGACAACAGGCAGACCGGGGTGAACAGCGTGTGTTTTTTTTAAAAGGCTTAAAATCCTGCGGGAGGTTTAAAAGGACCTAATAAAAGAAGGGAGGAAAAAAAAAAACCTGTTGCCTGCCTTCACGTCGAGCAAACAGAAGGAGATGAACACAAAGACTCGGAGCCAACAAAGTTTCAGCCGAGCGGTCAAAAGAAATAATAGGAAATGTCAACATGTCTTAACAATAACGAAGGCAAAAATTTAAGAATAACAAGAGTTGAGAAAGTAGCTTTAATTTGTGACGCTCGTTAGTGCGAGAAGCTGAGGGAGGGGGGCAAAAACATGACTAAAGTTGCACTTTTAACGCCAATATTATGACAGTTATATTTTAGCATCCCCAGGCTACAAGAGTAAAGCTGTAAAATATCAATAAGAGGTGAATGAGAGTGACATTAAAGCCACGAGCAGTAACGTTATTAAAGACGTCTGTACATTTGTGTGCTTTAAACCTACACACTAGCACGACAGACAGCTGAATTCCAGGGAGGGGGGCTAACTCAGACTAGTAATATGCTAATGTGCTGTAACGTTATAGCCCACTGAAGTGAACAAAGAAGTCTTTTCCCATCACACTAATAGTAATAACACTGCGGGCTGGCTCAGGCCGAAAGGGGGGACGACAATCCAAGACCCCGCTTTTCCCGGCTGTGGCACTCAGTACAAGTTGAACGATGCGCTTAAAAAAAAAAACTTGATTATTACTCCGCTAACAACGTGACAAACTACTTCTGTTTGACATGCACACGCTCGTTAGGAATATGTCCGCATTTACCTGGACTCAATAATGCGGCATCCAACGGGCAGAAACGAGCGGCTGGAGAAGAGAGAAAAACAAAGTTAGGGATAGGATCCTTCCCCCCGTGGTCCGGACTGTGGGCTTGATGAAGATGAGGAAAGACAATATAAACCACTCCTGTCGCCTCGTCTCGCTGTCGTCTTCGTCACGAACCTGAAAACACGCCTCTCACACGAACCATAACTCTTGTGTTAGTCCGTTTCCTTATTGTTAGAGAAACTGTAACCATTTCATTTTCCAAGTAGACATTTTAACAGCCTCCACATTGTCGGTTCCAATGGAATATCACTCCGCAGCGCAGCCTACGGGAGGACATGGACGCTGAAACATCAGCGGTGTCCAATTTCAACTAAAACGAAGAAACCAAACGGGGAAGCTTTCGACAGTCTTCGCATTGACGCAGCGACCAGCGCAAATGCCGCAAAATGTCACCGTCACGTAGCTGTGAACGAAGCAGAAAATGATCTGGGGATCAATTTGCGGGGATCTATGTCGACTGGCGGAGGAGGACGTCGCAGCGGAGCAGCAGAAGACGGGACGATAATATCTGCGAGAGGACCAATCGGATACAACCAACATTTGACTGACAAGCAGAACGTCAAATTATGTTTCAACATTAATCTTTAGGGCGGGCTCATTCTGCCTATAGGTTTTCTGGCGTTTTAATTTTGTTCTCAAACAGTGCCTGAGAGACAAAAAAAAAAATGTTCCTGGGTGTCAAACAGAGAGGGGAATCCGTGCTTAGCTATGCTAAACATAGATAAGATTACAAGAAAGTGTCTTTTAGCTGCTCATGTTGTTTATATTCTTGCTCAAAGACACTAGATGATGTAGTGACCTTGCTATGAAAAAAAAAAACCCTTACTAATTTACAGCCATCACGAAGACTTATGTGTGATAATGTTTATAAGCCTAAATATTAGGTGTGGTGTCATTTCGTCTAGTTAATAAGATAAGATGAACTTTGTCATCCCTAAAGAGAAATTTTCCTTGGGGAAGTAGTGAGAATATTCAGCTCCACACAACTGCAGACAACACGATAATAAAACAAGAAACACAACACTGGTAACAGAATAAAGCCATACATATGAAAAACGCTGCGATCTAAGACATACATATACCAGGGGTGCCTCCAAGGGAAGTCAAAGGGGGCCGTGACCACCCCTGAAATCTCATTAGCCACCCCTGTGCCGCCCCTCTCCAGCTCGAGTCTTGCTTTGCCAGCACATTCAGTACAACATAATGGTCTGGCTGCAGCACGCTGTCATTCTACTACTGCTTTACTTCAAACCAATCACAGTCTTAGTGGGCACAGCTGAGAGAAGGATGCAGCTCGGTGTTCACTCAAAACAATGCATTTGCATGCAGAGAGACCAACAATTTGATTAAAAATAATAATAATAATTTGCTGTAAAAAGTGCCTTACTGTACCATCCAAATCCTCAGCAAAGCTTGACATTTTCAGAGTGATATGTTGCTGCCTGGAGGCTGTTGCTGTTTCTCATAGTGAAGAAAATAGAAATACACAGATAGCGATAGAGGGAGAATGCCGGCTGAAGTGAGCGGTGACTTATATCAGCATCCTACATCCCACGAGACCGACTACCCCAGATCTGATAAGCCCTGCTCATTTACTCACACTCTGATGTTCAAGTTTCAGTGACTGCAACTACGGTGTCAGAGTGCAAGTGAAAGCAGCATTAAAGTCTGTAACAGCTATGCTTGCATAAACATCTAAGAGTGTGCAAAAGACACAGTTTGTGGCCTAAGCAGACGCAGCCGCACACCTCCAAACACTAACAGAAGCTGAAGTTTAGTTTGTCGATTCCAGCAGGAGCCTTTCCTCTAAATTTATCTAATACTTGCAGCATCAGGCGGCAGTAGAATCCATATGAGCATCTCCAGAGTGAGAGAGCTGCACCCACTTATGCACAACACAACGCAGCGGTAACTTAATTATTTACTTATTATTCTAAATTATCCCTGACATGAAGTCAGGATCAGTCAGGATCCAACAGTAAAGACACTGTACAGGTGAGCTGTCACACACGGAGTCAAAGTTTATCAGCTACATTTAAATCATTAGTTACACAGTTGAATCCTGAGCTCCATCACAGCTGGATATTATTCTACTGTAAAAGTCTGATCCATTCACTAAAGTCTAAACATTTTTGATTAAGTTGTAGAACTGATGATAGAATATAGGTATGGCTTTAGGTTGATTTTTAGCAGCCCCATCTTGCCACCCTTATGACATACACAGCCATGCATATTTGCAAACAAAAGTGTGTATTGCACCTGTAAGAGCATTGTGTTGCACCATGAAATTACATTAAAAAATGCCAGAAGAGTAAAAAGCAAGGATCTGGAGATCAGCCTCGTAGATCACATGCATAGGCCAGAACATCAGGAGTCCAGACTGAGTGTTATTTGTTGGAGCAGTGTGATGGAAGCAGGAATAAAAGACAGTGTTAAATGGTTGTTCTTATATTTTCAGCTTCTGTCTACCTAAAGGTTGTCTGAAAACAAAATGTGTGAGGAGGCCCTCAGGATCTTGTGTGCAAACTGACAACAGTTTTGCTAATATGGAGAGTAATATTTGCACAGTTTAATATTTGCTCAAATTTTTTTATTTTTTTTTGCTCTGAATAGCGTGTGTGGCCTTTTGTTGTGTTTGTAATCTTGCATTATGTTATTATGCATTCACAATCTGCCCAGCAGCTTTTAGCTTTGCAGTTAGGGAGAGGGAAAAAACATACCTGCACTCAGAAGAGTGAGGTGACTTCCTGAAGTCAAACAGAAATCAAACATTGACAGCATGAGCCAGAGTCTGATTCTCATAAATGGCCTGCTTGTTTTTTTCATGAATGGTACTATTTATTTATACTATTTTGCATATTTAATAAATTGACTGTGTTCTCTCTCAGATGAAGTTTTGTCTCTCATCCACTTTTGTTTCTATCACTTCGACCCTGAAGCCTTGGAGAGCACAGGAGGCCTTATCTTGTCCCTGGAAGATCCACACAAATAATTCTGTGGAGGCCTTGAAGCACCTCGCCAGTGCAACTATCCGACAAAACCATGAGAAACTCACCCCCATCTTTTATCCTCCTGCTGGGAGGAGTATTATTAGACTGAATGTAACTTTATAGCTTTGGCTCTTGTCTTTGGAAGGCAGGAGTCCTGATTGCATGGTTTATTGCAGTAAATAACTCAGATGGACACTTGCTCTTTGTAAAGTTACTTTTTGCAGAATTTCCATAACAATTTGGCAACAAGGATGGGATGCTGCCTACGAGGACCGATGCTCTCCCTCCTCCCCCGATTACTTTTATAGCTCTTCTGCTTCTGTGGCTGCAGAGAGAACTTCTCACCAATCACACAGAGCGGCGTTCCGTAGACAAAATCGCAGGTTGGATAAATTGTGTGTGTTTTAATCAGCGGAGATACACAACTTAAATGAACAAATTCATGCCACCTCACAAATGGGACAGAATGGGACATGTGAGAAGAGTCCTTCGGGATCTTGTGTGCATATTTGGCAAGTTTTTTCATAGATGCTTTTGTTGCAGTTTTCACCAAGCTGAGTGTCTGAGTCTGCAGAGAAAGTGAAGCCTTTGGGCCAAACTTGCACAGAAAAGAAACATCTGTAGTTTGAAAATGCTTTATAAACATCCCTGAGGAAGAACTACAGCCTCCTTTATCGATAAAAATATTTGCTGTGCTGTAATGATTTATTCAGACTATACTGTGATGTGATGCCTATTATAGTATTTGAAATCTTGCATTATAATAATATGTATTCACAATCTGTCCAACAGTTTTTTAGCTTTGTATTTGGGCAGGGGAAAAAAAAACAAACCTGCACTCAGAAAGATGCTCTAGCATGTTTGTGCAAAAGTGGCAGAAGAAAAAAAAAAAACTAGAGTGCGGCTACTTCCTTTAGTAGAATTTGAGCCAGAGTCTAATTCACAGAAATGGCCCACCGGGTGTTTTTCGTGAGTTGCACTGTCACGCTAGATGTGTTACTCTTGCATATTTCTTAAAGTGAGTGTGTTTTCTCTCAGGTGAAGGTTTGTCTCTTATTCACTCTTACTTGTATCAGTTTGACCCTGAAGCCTTGGAGAGCACAGGAGGCCTTATCTTGTCTCTGGAAGGTCCACACAAATAATTCTGCGGAGGCCTTGGAGCACCTCGCTGGTGCAACTATTAGACAAAACCATGAGAAACTCACCCCCCCATCTTTTCATCCCTCTGCAGGGAGGAGCATGACAGGCGACAAGGATGGGATGCAGCCTACGGGGGCCTCATGTGCTCCCTAGTCCTGATTACATTCCTTGTATTCCTCACACAAAGCAGTGTTCCATAAACAAAGTGACAGATTAGATAAATTATGTCTATTTTGATCAGCAGAGATTTGTTAATTACATAAGAGAAAGGCCTTAGACGAACAAATTCATGCTACCTCGCAAATGACAATGTAGGATGGCGCCTCACTAAAGCCCATCTAAGAAACCCTAAAAGTCAGACATGGACAGCAGGAGATGGTCTGGTTTAGTAGCATGTTTGGAAAATGGGGTGCGTTTTTGCCAAAGTGGAAACAGGAGTGTTATGTTGTGATATGTTTTCATATTAACCAGAGGTCTAATCTTGCTAACAGTAGGACAATAAGCACAAGCTGATGTTGAAAAACAAAATGTTCCCGATCTCTTTCCCCTCCTGAGTGGATCCCTCCCTTTGCAGGTGGTGAAAATCCTTAAAAAGAGGAGCAGCAAGCAGATGCCTAATTATGACTGAACTTGATGAGAAGTTTAAGAGCTTCTGTCAACAGACATTCTTCACATGGTTCGGATTGTGATTTCACAGATAGACGGGTGATCTTATTTTCCACACTTTGTAATGTTGCAGTGGTAATATTATCTATGCATGAAATTAAATGGAAAATGTATTTTTTATTTTACCAATGCTTCTATGCATGAAGATATTAATTTTGGAGTTGTACAAAATCAGTTCAGGAACTTTCCGTTTCATTTAACGAAGGTCAAATCTATGCGCTAAAGGTAAATGAAGGTCTTTTATTCAGTAAACATACTGTTTGGAATTATGCTGTCAAAAAAAATATTAGCGACGCAAATTACTTCTGAAACTTTTTTGATTACTCACAAATTGATTCCATTGGACCGAAATGGCACCTTCAAAAAGAAATTAGCTAAGTGCAGTGGAGAGGCGGGGCTCAGCTGGACCGAGGATGTCCCTGCTGTCCTCACTCAAATTAAAACAATAATAGGGAGCAGGAACAACCCATTTGGAGATCCTTCGTGACAGGCTGGGGAAGACGCTGGGTCTCGTCAGAGACAGCTGCCAGGAAGATGTGATAAAATGTTGAGATTTGTGCTCTCAGCTCTATTTACACGCAGGTGAAGGCTGCGCTCCCACAGGAGGCGCCAACTGAGGCTTCACAACCTCAAACTAACTGATTGAATGCTGTTGAAAAGAAGGACTGACTCGAAGAAACCTCGGTGGCTGGGACAGGATGCAGGATTACAAATTATGTTGATGTTGCTACAGGACTGGGGCTAAATTTTACTAGACTTATGCATATTACTTTCAGGATTTCATTAAAGTAACTTTGGTCCAAACCAGTTGTTCATTCTGTTTACCTCCTGTATTAGATAATTAAAGGAAACCTCTTGGATCCTTATGATACAGCAGCATACTAAGGAAAATCAGTGCAATCCCAGTTACCTGAAAGTGTGCATTCAGTTTGTGGTAATAAAAGCTATGTGCCTTTTGATTACTCACATGATACGTGTTATTTAGCACATCTAATTCCACGGTTTAGGAAAGCAGACGCCGGTTTTGTATTTTTCATTACGGAAGTGCAAAGGAGATACAGCATAGCACATGATCAGTAGGGGGTCTATTCTCCCAACAAGAATTCTTATCTAAAGTATTAAAGAGTCATCTTAATTGGCAGCACAAAGTGGTACAAAATGATTGGTACTGAAAATCTCTGACAGACACGAGCTATAGATGTGGCTCAAGACACAGTCAAAGATATAAAAAAGCTACATGTCAATTATTGTTATTTGGGTGATTTTCCCTCAAGTGTTCAGGTCATAGGGTTTCCAGTTTGGCTAGATTTTTTGTGTATACATATCAGTGGCGCTAGTTTTTACTTCGATCCTGTTTGAGTAGAAGCTGTTGAACTATTTATAAAATCTCCACGGCAAAGGTGAACCCTGTTCATGATTTGAAGGTCAGTATTATAACCTTCTAGGATGTTGCTTCATTGAAGTTCATGCAAAGCGGTGCATATTTCATTTGCCTATCTTGAACATATGATGACAGTGATATTGCAATCAGCGGCCATTTTCACTGTCTCAACCATCGATGGACGTCTTTTTAAGGTGAAAAGGCTCGTTTTCCATATGATCTAAACAGACCACAGAGCTGCGTTGGATGTGACTACACTCATTTCAAGTCTCTGGTGCACCTTTGATTGAACTGGTGGGTTTTATGTTACTTGAGTTATCCACTTTTTAATACATACAGTATAAGAAAAAAAGCTCAGTGTGTTTTAATTATCTCTCCATCTTCTTTATTTACATTTAGGTACTACTCATGAGCTTGCTCACTGTTCTTCCAGGCTTCTTGAAAATATGTCAGCAAAAAAAACAGTGTCTAGACATATTCTGTTGTTATTTACAGAGAGGGGTTCTATCCTCATCCTTTTTAAGTCATCATTGTATGATAAAAGCGTGGGAAGTGTGACGGAAATTCTATGTTTTACTGCTGTTGCTAGGGATGTTACTCTTTTGCATATTTCATATTCTGACTTTCATATTGACTCATCTCTCAGATGAAGGTTTGTCTCTCATCCATTACTGTTTGTATCAGTTTGACCCTGAAGCCTTGGAGAGCACAGGAGGCCTTATCTTGTCTCTGGAAGGCCCACACAAATAATTCTGTGGAGGCCTTGGAGCACCTCGCCAGTGCAACTATTAGACAAAAGCATGAGAAACTCACCCCCATCTTTTATCCCTCTGCAGGGAGGAGTATGAGACAAACTTCCCTTTAAGACTGAGCTGAGTGTAACTTTATAGCTTTGGCTCTCGTCTTTGGACGGCAGGAGTCCTGCATGCATATGTGAAGTTTATTGCAATAAGTAACTCTGATAGACACTTGCTCTTTGTGAATTTACTTTTTGTAGAGTTTCCACAACATGTACCTTGGTGGTTATGTAAACAAAGCTGCAGTTAAGGGCACATTTGTTTTGAGACTTTCTTGAGAAAACCTCAACTGGTTTGGGGGAAAACAACCCAACTAACATCTGTGCTGGCCTTTACGAGAAAACTCAGCCATCCACTTTGTGGTTTACAAACACACACACGCACACATACAGCATGCAGTGCACACATGCAACTCGAGCACACACCTGCATGTGAATAACAGTGAGACTGGTTATCAAATTATCCATTTAAAGCTAAACTGTCATTTAAAGCTTTTGCCTTTATAAAACTGTAACTGCAACATACAAACATGGTGTTTTCATTTGCCAGATTTGATCTTGTCTGTTTTGCTCTTACAGTCAAAGCAGAACATTTTACCACAAGGTTGTTTACTCTGCCACAGCTAACCTATGCTGAGAACTGCTTCGTTAAAGACCAACGCACATACAAGCAGCTCTAGATTTCTGCAGCAGGTTGAGGAGCGTTCAGTCGGTGTGAGCACATCAACCTCATTATGACAAAACTAGTTTCATGTCACAGATTCAATGTGAAGCTCCTCCAGTACACCTGGGGAAAAGTGGCGCATGTATCCGCAAGGAAGCGATCATATCACTGCTCTACACAAAACATCAAACGCTGTTTGGTTTGTTGCCTTTTTAAAAAGTAGGACGAACAGGATCGAGGCAAAACAACATCAAGGTTGTATGATAAAGTGCAAGACAGAAAACGAGGCTATATTTAGAGTGGAACTCCATTTTCCTAACCCCAAAGTGTGTACCCTCCTCTCCACCCACTCTTTCCTGGGCTCCCTCTTCTTCTAGACACCAGTTCTAAGGCTTTGTAAATGGGTTACCCCCATGCAGCCACCCACGCATCAGGTACAGTATCAAAACCTGGGGCATCCTGTTATGACTTTTGGTTTCCTGTTTCCTGCAAAAAAACACAGCCCCCTCTCTTTCTCTCACACAAATGCACTTATGTTCTCGTCACACACCAAACAGAGCAGGGCTGGGATCAGCTGCTGACACCCCCCTTCCAAATTTATTAGCTTGAGTGTTCATACTTACAATCCTGGCTCAAGTATTTTGGAATGTATTCAGCAAAAATATCACACTGCCAATTAGATTCAATAAATGAAATGTTGCCATGTTTTTGTCCTCTCTAGATTGCTTCCAAGAAGACTCCGTCCGGCATTTACTGTATTTTCTGACTGGGTGTCACATACTGTGATATTGTAGCGGTCAGCGCTGTGAAATACACAAAGCGGCAGCATTGTGAGGAACTCATTATGCTATATGGTGACAAGAGCAGCTGTTTTACCCCATTCTTCACATTTAATTTGTTTTTATTTCATGTATACATCTACTCATTTCACATGCCAGGGAGGAAGACGTACAAGTGTCAAGGGACCACTGAAACAGCAATAACAGCGGTGTGTGCTCGTGTGTGAACTGCAGGTCCCCGTTTGCCAAAAATATGAAAACAACACAGTTCGAGACACACAACATGCTGCCGCTGCACATCCCCCGCCAAGATACCTGAGCATCTCTCTCGACGGGGGTCAGCCACATCACTCTTAATGAGCAGAAATCTTTCTACCTTCCTGCGGTGGCTCTAGCCTGCCGCGCTGAATGCTCAGCGACGGCGTGCACGGTTAATTGTCTCAGCACAAACTCCCACTCTATTATGTTCAGGCAGTTTGCTGGTGCTGAAACAGAATTTTAACACGCTCATTAAAAGTATTTAAAAAAAAAAAAAACGGAATTCATTTTTATCAGTTTCGGATGACGCCGTCACCTTTTTTTGTGTGTGTATTTGATTTGAGTTGAAAAAGCAGTCATGTTCACTAATTTTTTAAAAATAATTAGAATGTAATTTCTTTTGTTCCACAGGGCCTTTCCATTGTATAGACTGCTCACTCACTCTTTTCCTCGTTTCTGTTGGAAAAAAGGAGAAAAGCACAATACCACCCTGTTCTTCTTCCTCATTTTTAGCTCATCACCCCCTCTTTCTTGCAGATTGGAATTCATTAGCAATCAAAGAGCCACTGACAAACGCCCAATCTTAATTACCCTCTCATTTGCATATTTGCATATAAATGACTGCAGACTTTGCTGTTTTTCTGCTGCAATAGTCCCCCTCCCATCAACGCTGCTCAGACTTAGCCACCCCACATACTGCAACACTATGTCATTCTCTGAGCTCAAGATCTCACACTTTAAGTCTGAAGTTGACAGACATTGAAGGAAGGACATTTTTTCTTTTCCAAACAGATTATTTTCATTGCACTTGTAATGTAAAGGGACGAATGGATTTCAGCAGTTTGAAGAATCACTATCCTGCTCTTGTTTTCTTTGTGTACCGTGCATTTACCATCTGATTTCAGCAATGTCAAGGGAACGTATCACTCAGCCAAGACATATGAGTTTGGTAACATAATTTAGTTCATAACTGTAGCAAAGGTTTTCAGTGCTTGTACTTAGTATTCTGCCCCCTTCTGGTGAAATAACGGTATAACAGATATGAAAATCTGAAGCCATAATGCTTGCACGCTACAATACATACCATTTATTGACCATTAGGATTTTATAAAGACAAAGACTTCTAGGATTTTACCATATAAAACATTTATATCTTTAAACCAATACTGACAGGAGGAAGTACACAAAAAGATGAAACAAAGGAGCAAAATGCCCCAACACAGGACGCACATGGTAAATCCGTGTCCTGTTGTTTCCATTACAGCGTATACAAAAAACTGACCATTTGTTTCAGCTGACACTGTTCAGCGAGCCGCAATGCAGCTTGCTCAACAGATCAAAGTGGTCTTGTTATAGCAGATAATGTCCAGGAGTGAATTTCTGGGATTCCCAAAGGCAGCCTCTACCTCCACATAGCTGATCTGATGCTAATAAAACCATAATAAAATGATGGTGCTGTTTGAAGCAATCAAGAAACAACTCTAAGATACAGAGGAAGCAGTGAGTGTATTCAAGGGTTTAATCTTTTACAATTATTTTTGGCTTTGACATGAGGTTCATGCTTGAATGCTTTGAACATTGTGCTTCACCTCAAGACATCTCGGAATTGCTAAAAATTAGTCAAATGCAGGAAACCTTCTAGACACAAGCATTTCCTTTCCACACAGACAGACATAACCCAACCTGTTCAGTAAAATAAGTTCATTCTCACATTTCTCAGTGTTTTTGCATAACAGATATAAAAACAAATTCATATATGTATTAATCTGTGGACGCATACAGATGTCTGACTATGATTATAATAACTGAGATTGACACACTTGAACTTGTAAGCCTCAGAGCACTTCAGAGAAACTCAGACAAGAAAACTGAAAAGCAGAAATGGAAAAAAAAAAAAAAGACATGTCACAAATATTCAATAAGTCTGATTTTCTTTTAAGGATTTCTTTTACAGTTTTACACAGTATGTGCAGCATCATTGCAGGATGGTGGGCTGAGAAGAACAACAAAAAAAAATCTACTGGATTTTTAAACAGCTACAAAAAATAGTGCAGCAGTGGCCAAGAGTAGGTCAGTGATGTAATGGCCCAAAATCCTGATCTAAACTTACCACAAATTAGTAATGATTTCTGTTGTCCACACTGCCAACAAACATTTAGAGGACTTATGATGCAATTGATTTAAGAAGAAAACATTATGATTAAACAAAACCCCAATGTACTGACTTTCCACAAAGAATGCCAAGTGTAAATAGAGAATCTTTCCTAGATTGTGATCTGCTGGCTAAAAAAATACACAACAGAGCAGATTTTAAAGATGGAGCCTTTAGAGGTTCAGTGAGGGAAGAAGTGGTTGTTTACAGTATATCTGAGTGTATGGTTTTAGGCAGCAGCTTCTTCATGTTTTTACATACTGTGTGCATGAGTAGACCGTGCTTTCAGTCTGCAGTGCGTGTGGGAGTGCTGGGTTGGTTCAGCCCCATTGTTCTACAAAGCCAGCCAGCAAAGTCCACCTCCTCCGCCTCAGACCGCTTGATAAACGTATGGTTCTGCAACAGAACACAATGATGTATAAACAAGACGGTTAAAGCTTGACTGACTGACATAAACAAAGGTTGTGGTGCTGATTCCAACTTTACTGGTACCCACAGCTAAGTTTAACTGCAGTGCTGGACTGATTGGTGAGATACTAAGAACTATGTTTTGTGATCTGTCATATAAGGTTGCTTGTTCCCAGGGCTAATGGGGCCAAGATGGAACTTAAATTCGAGTTCAGGTTAAAGTCAAACTTAGGACACTTACCATCAGCATTTTCAAGTCAGCCCTGTCTGCTGGATTTTTGATGAGACTGTGGACACAACACAGAGGAAAGGAAGCTATCAGGTGAAACTGTTCATTCATCATGTTAGTTACAAAACATTAGATAACATGTTCAGGATAATTCTTGAAAGCTAAAAACGCTTGAAAACAAAGATATGAACACCTGAGCAGTATTCTCAGGCCAAAATGTTGTCTTACCACTTTGTAACAAAATCTTGAAAATCGCAGGTGAATATGCCATGGGGTAGTTTAGGTGGAGGCTGGAATACAGAAGAAAGTTGAATGAAAATGTCACATGGCCAACAGTAGAAAGTGACACCCTCCATAATTTTGCATATATGACTGTAAAAACAACTTCCTAAATTCATACCTCATTGACTATGTAGTCTAGCAGCTCAAAGATGGCCATTACAGGACCATGACCTGGGGAACAACGAGTGAGAGCTCAGTCAGAGAAAGCTTCGATCAGAATCACTAAACATTCCTTTGTGGCTTCCAGCAATCGCAGGGCAGACAGGTTAGTAAATCAGAGCGTGCAACTGACTGACATCAGGTTGCATGGTCTCTCATGCAGCCACTAGGAGCGGTCAGTATTCAAATGTTCCTATTGTAGTTTCAAATAGCTACATGAAACACTTTGCATATGTGTTTGTGTCACTCACCGCTGACAGGTCTACCCGGCGGTCTGGGTCTAGGTGAAGTGCTGTGTGTCTCTCCCTCTGTGTCATCCAAGATGGGTCGTCCAAATATGGCCTCCAATTCTTTTGCATCTGGAGGAGGGATGGGGTAGCGTCCGATCGACAGCTCTACTAGGGACAAGCCCATACTCCACACATCTGACTGCACAGAATAGTGGGTTCCCTGCAATCTCTCAGGCTACATGGTAAACATAAACAACAAGAAGAAGTCATCAATTCAACACAAAATAAGCTATTAACTGTTTAAACACTCAAAAGTGTGAAATAAAAGGTTTATTCTGGAATAAAATTGAGTTAGTGGATGAGGCCATTCCTGAAAGTTAATACTAGAAAATAATCTTTAGTTTGAATTGACTCATTGGCTTGAATTTGATTAAAAATGTAATAATATTTTAATGAATATCACACATGAACTATGAATGAGAAGTTATTTGTAAAGTCACAACACACAAATGAGACACAGACAGCAGGGTAACATGTAGGATTTTACACTGGATTGATAATTTCAAGGCGAGAGGATCAACATACCGACATGTATGATCTTGTCCCAACAAAGGAATTTGCCATCGAGTCTATGAGCTGCCCACTCACACCGAAGTCACACAGTTTGATCTCACCCCGGGAATTCACCAGTATGTTTGAGGGCTTCACATCTGGGGGTTAAAAAGGAAGTCATGAAAACTTTCCTGAAGTTTACATATATAATGAACATGATCAAAAAGGACTGCCTTTACCCTTGCGATGCATTGCCTATTTTTTACACCTCTCATGTGTGACCAATATGAACAGGTATGTACACTCGTTTTAACAAAAGAAAATGTCTCGTCCTGTCTAACAAATGAAATGCTATGATTTTAAATACAAGTATCAATCATCGACTTTATCAAAAATGACAGTACCTCTATGCATGATTTGGTGTTTTTCTCGTAGATAGGCAAGGCCTCTCAAAACCTGTTTCAAAATGAGGAAACAAAGTCAATAATCATAAATGAGCTTAATGTGAAAACAACAGTCAAAAACAATCAAGAAACTTATCCACTAATACTGAGTGCATGATTTATTTTGATGTAAAGACTAAAAGAGTGATTATATGAGTTAAGAAACTTGATTTTAAAAGTTTGAATTACATTCCTATGAACAATTAATACTAGTGTTTCATTAACTCCAACCATTAAATATTACATTATATAACACTATTGTCGATAACCAAATACTTACAGCGATGCTGACTTTTCCGAGAATCTCTTCAGGGACCCTCCTTGCTTCTTTCAGCACCTGGTCCAGAGATCCACCATCCTGCAAAAGAGAGAGTACAACAACTTATGATATAAGTGCTATAAAGACAGAATTTCAAAAGAGCACATCATCCCGTTTTTACAGCGTGGACTGATTTCAGAAATCAAAATAATAAAGTGGTTGTAAATGAGCATATGTTTGTGCAAAACAACTGAGCAACAGTAATAAAAGACTGCACCATGTGTTAAGGCATCATCAACATTTGAATTTAAAAAGATGGTATTCAAAACATTTATGCATGGCCTTTTATATCGGATGCTTCTACTGAGTACGGACATCCACTTTAATGATCACTTTGAGCACAGACAGGGCAGAAACTAAAAGTCAGCTCACTAATTAGTCTGCTGTTTGTGTTGACAAGACATCAGCCTAATATCTGCAGACAGCTGGCCAGCCAGTGTTAGTTACCCGGCAGGGACAGACTGAATAAGACAGATCTAAAGCAGAATCATATCTCATAGCCGGAAGTAACATCACATGAGCAAACACAAACACGGCTCAGATTGGTGTGTGGAGCCTCTTGATCATCTACAAGACAACCAGAATCAGCACCCATCCTAAGCAGGGACAGTCCTGTAAACTGCAGCAGGTCTACATAGATTGTAAAAAGTGTTCATGCAACAGTTTATGTTTTGTACTATGGGGACTTAAAGTGGCTAATATAGGATGTTATCGCCTAGATTATTCTTTAATTTAAAATAAATGCTTTGTGTGCACTGTAATAACTCAATTCCCACAGCACAGACATTCCTCACATCCTTTAGTAGCCCAGTTAGAACAGCTTACTAATACATACGCATTACATTTCGCACAGGTCCAACTCATCTACTGAGAAAATATGAAAAATGGAAAGATCAAACTTTGTTCAGCCCTGTTTTGTACACTACTTCAACATAGGTATGCAAGACAACAGAGCAAAAAGTAACGATTTCTTTGTGGCGATTATTATGGCTACTTTCAATACTTTCAAGAGCCACCATCTCCAATTCTCTCACCATGTGTTCCATGCAGATGCTGATCTCTCCATCGCTGTAAAACGCTCCATAGAACCCCACAATGTAGGGAGAGTTACACTCATGCAGCACCTGCAGCTCTCTGATGATCTGGTTTCTGATTGCAGGCTTGATTTCTAGGTGAATAAGCTAAACAGAAAAGAGAGTTGTTATCTAAATTGTGTTTTAACTACAGGATACACAACAAGTTGGTTGAGTATAACTTTCGTGCACTGAAACAGGAATTACTCAAAGGTTTTATCACATAAGTATTGTTTTTTTTGTAGCTCACCTTTCTGGCCATGATTATGCCTGAAGGTTTGTGGCACTCCTTGTTGACTACTCCTCCATTGCCTGCACCCAGCTCACAGACACGATGGAAGTCATCGTCTTTCAACTCGCCAACCTTGGCCTTCTGGGTGAGAAAAGCTTCTAATCTTTTCTTCTGTTGCTCATCCAGGTCCAGCTCCTCTAATATTTTCTTAAGTGCTTCTAAACTGGCCCTGAGAAAACAGATAAATAATGGCGTAACCCATCTGTCCAAACGCACAAATACACAGTATTTTCAAACTGTATAGGATGACTTACTCAGACGTAACTTCTGTGTTGGTGGAGGGGGATAATCCATCGCCAGTGGGAGTAATAGTTAGGGGACCTGGTCTCTTCTTCGGAGCCATGCTTACTTGTGAATAAACTCTTGAGCTGGGATTAGGAGACACTGCTCTCCTGCTATCTGCTCCTGTTGTTTGTGCTTACCACATGCAACTTTGAGAGGTTAAATAGGGAGACAACACTTATCCTGCAGACACTAACTACACTAACTTAGAAAGGGTGAACGTCCCCTTTCCTGTCAGTTAAGCTAAATGTTAGAACAGTCCCCACGTGTAAATGTAACAGAACATTCATTCAACACGGACTTGGCCTCTGAATCTGCTTGAATCCTAATTATCTCACTCACAGTCACAACACAAAGTTCAAAACATCCAATTATAAACACAAATAAGGTAGTACAACACCAAACCTTAGCTAGTTTGCTGACGTTAGCTGAGTTAGTTGTTTTAGATGATTAGACGTAACAGCTACTTACTTAAATTGATTAGTACGATAACTAGCATTATGGTCAGTGCACTGAGGCTAACCAAGTAAATATTCGCTACATCTACGCCAAACTAACTACAACGTAACGGCAAACAGAATATTTTCAAAACTAGAGCCATAACTAGCAGCGCCCCACGTTAGCTAGCTGGCTAACTTCATCTGCTAGCTGTTGCGTGATAGTAGCACATTTAACGCTAACTGGTAGCAAGAGACTATTTCCCGTTACTTCCTGTGCTGTTTCCCCACCCGCTCGTTTAAATTAGAAACGGCAGCTTAATGCGCTGCTTTTCCCTGCCTCTCCTTTCCGCTGGCAGGTGCGGGGTTGCCGCAGACGGACACCGGGTCCCAGTATCAGTAAGTACAGCGGCAGAAGAGGAGACGGGGGCGCGGCGCTGCCAGGAACCCAGCAGCAGCAGCGCACACTGCCCGGACTGACTGTGGCGTCAATCTCGCGATAGTTCAGATAGTGACTGACAGCTGTGCAGAAGTGAGAGAATGTAAACGGGATTTTATAATGGTACTTTTAAAGAGTGATTGTATCTTATGAATGATTGTACTATATTTCCCCACAGATAACATTGTTCTCAAATTACTTTTGGTTCCTAGAGTTTCAAAAGAAGATCAGATTAGGCTCAACACTTTTAATAAAGTTTGTAGTGGGGACTGGCTAAGGTAACCCTGTATCATCTCTTACTTTTGCTGCTATTGGCTGATAGGGAACTTCCCATAATGCACTGAGCACCTCTCTCCATACATTTACACACCAGTTTATTGTGTCATTAACCTCTCTGTCCCACACTTTGTGTTTTGTCCTCTCTGCAGATATCTCTGCCACATTTCTGATCAGTGGTTTCTGGTTTCACTGACCTTCACAGTGTCTCTTGTTCTGTCATGTTTGTGTGTTTTTACCTTCTTTCATTTTCTCTCTCCCCTTTACCTTCACCCCAGCCGGTTAAGGCAGATGATTGTCCTCCCTTCACTCTGGTTTCTTCCTGGGAATGAGTTTCTTTATCCCACTGTTGCCAAGTGCTTGCTCAAAAAAAATCCAAGGGAGTCCTTGGATTTATTGAGTTTCTGTCAGTAATTTAGTAATGTCCTCACCTTACCATGTGAAGTGCCTTGAGATGATATATGTTGTGAATTGGCACTATATAAATACATCTCAATTAAAATGAAACTGAATGAAGGTTTAACTTCAATTTCCTATTAGTTATTTTTTTTAACAGTTATAAAATCAATGCTGTTATATAGTCTGTTGTCAGTTTATTAGAACACTTAAAAAAACAACTCTTACAGATACAACAGTCCTGCAATAAAATCCTAATTTAATGCCAACTCTTATAAGTTTTAGTGTGTTGTTTCTGTTTTTCACCCTGTCCTCAATGGCATAAAAAAGGCAGATAGCAGGGTGATAACCAGACACAAAGATGATTTCTTCTCACAGGCCGTCACTCTGATGAACAATTAAATGTATGACAGAAACAACTCTATCTGTACCCCTAACTCACAACCACTGTATATACTGTCCATGACATAACAACTAATATTCCATTCCACAAACGTTGCTCCTCTTTGCTCCATTGCACTATTGTTCACTTACCTCATGCATATAATGTGGAAGTAACCCTGCATTTATATTTAATGACTTTATCTGTTCCTCTCATCAAAATCTACACAATTTGCACTAAATTTTGGCCAATAAAGCTGATTCTGATTTCAGTTCTAACTCGCTAGGAGAGTGAGTCAATGTACAGGATTTTATTATTTAGCAGCAACACAAGTAGCAACTCAAAGGATGACCATACAGCACGGACCTTATGGGTAGTTTCTGTGCTTCCCTGAAAAAAATCTTTCTTTTTTGAATGACTGCATTGAGTAGAAGACTAACTAAAATGTGTCCAAGACCATTATATCTTACATCCATACATACTGAGCTACAATCCTGAAGTGATTCATTATTCAACACATTTTAAATGTCATTCTGCCCATATTGCTGCTACTTGTGTATACATATACACCGAACAACTCTGTAACATGTAACTGCACTTTAACTGTATATAGACACTCCACACTGATGTGGGGAAATTTATTTTATTTAGAAATGCAGCAGTGCATAGAAAATGTGAAGTCTGAAAAAACAACGACAAAAAGTTGTTGATGGAGGTAAAAAAGGAAAAAAAAAAAAAGATTATAGTGTTTGGGGAAAGTCTAAACCTGCAAATGAACATGACAGCCCATTCTTTGAAGACCAGAAGCTCTGTGGTTTTATCTACCAAACACGATTAATGCTTTGCAGACGCATCATAAACCACAACAATACTGTGCAAAAAAGTGTTTCAACTCTTGCTGTGTGATTTCCTTTCAGCAGGTGGCGCTCTTGGTCACCTCTTTACAGCCTTGAGCTGCATCAGTACAGGCTGGAGAAGTTCCCTTTGCCCAGCAGCAGCTTGATACAAAGAGAAACGAGGACAGAAAAACACAGAGATTTAAGATCTGTTAAATATGCACAAGAGAATATGCTGTCATTCAAGTATTATGTTTGCTCTTTTGAGTTTACAGATTATCAATAAACATATTATTATTTTTTTTTAGAATTACCACTTCGAAGACTGAAAATGCAGCTGTAAGCCTATTTTTGATGCAATAATTGTAATTAAAAATTGTTCAAAAATCCTATTTAGTTGCAAAAAGACAGAATAAACATGCACATCCTTGTGACGAGCGCTGGACAAAAATACACATCTGAAAAAAAGAAAAAGCTCTGAGACTCAAATAGAGACTCCCACAAACATTTATCAAATTATTACCTCATGGTGATGTCTCTACTGTAAACGCTCTTCTTGAGACCAGTGTTTACACTCAGGACATCACAATGAGGTAGTCATTCAATAAATGTTTGTGGGAGTCTCTCTTTGAGTGTAGGAACTATATATATATTTTTTCAGATGTTGACTCACAACATCCTACTTAAGTCACAAGATTGCATTGTAGTAATAGTCGTGCATAAGAAGCTTTATTTCAGTGAATCTTTATTTACACATCCACACACAAACATACCGTCTGATGGGTTTGGCCTGGCTGATAAGATCAGGAAGTTTGCTGTTATTGGTGTCTGGCAGCAACACGCTAACAACAGCAGCCATGATGCTGACTGTGCCAAAAATAAGGTATGGGAGGACCTTGCTGTAAACACCTGCAAACAGAATAAAAGGCACTGGAATTAGAAATATCAGAGATCTGTTGGCATCTTAAGTTTTTAATCAAAAGCATTTCCACATGCTGGTATGTCACAAGTGTAAATGAATCAGGTCTAATATACGAGTACAAGTAGTTAACCCTATTCAGGACTTTTGGGGTCTTTTGGACCCCAGGCCATATGGTTTGGGTGACAGGTATTGTTTTTTTTTTTATTAAAATTTATTTTTTTAAATACAAAAAGAGGGACATTTATCATGCAGTTGGAACCAAAAATATGTCAGCTTATCAGAATATGTATTCTTTCTATTCATCGTATTCTTTCTCGGGGTCTAATGGATGCCGAAAGACCTTCTACATATGGCAACATGAAAGTCCTGAATAGGGTTAAATACACAATAAGACAATAAAGTAAAAAATCAAACAGATTTTAAAAAGTGTACATGAACACAAGACGAGGAAGAGGTAAAGTTAAACTTAACCTGAACAGACCTTTTCCCTAGCAGACAGTCTCAACCATCAATTCTGTTATTAGCTTCACCTCATATGTTTTCCTGCTGCAACAAGTCAAAATGTCTGCTAAGCAAAAATGCTTTCTTTACATAATGACATGTGAAGTGCAGAGAAAACCTGTAAAACACATCAGGAAAATGATGTGTCAGTTACAAGTTTCCCTGAATGTGTTGTCACCAGCTGATGATTATACAATCAGTTTTGATTGTATTTGAGGTCTAAAGAGGGATATGAGAAAATAAGGTTTAGGAACTGCTGGCTCAGTCGCTCTTAATAATAAAATTAATGAGTAGGAAAAATATGGAGTCCCTGCTGCTGTGCTTGAGGATGTCTACATCCAAAATGCCACCATTCAGGGCCCTGTGTTACCTTAAATCTGTCCTGGAATTTACAGGCAGTAGCAGCAAGGAGGGGTTTAATATAATCACATCTTGTGTGCCATCTCTCCATGAATGAACTTTATTACTATATATTTAATCTAAAGATTAAAACATACACAATACATCTGTGTAACCAGAAAAAAAAAGCACACTTGCCCATGTAAATCACATAGGGACAAATGACGGCGCTGAGCCGTGCAGCTGTGGAGGCGATCCCTAAGCCCATGTTCCTGACCACGGTGGGGATCAGCTCAGTGAAAAAGACGTAGATGAAGCAGTAAGCACCAGCAACACCCATCTTTCCCAGCAGAGCTAACACCTGGGACATGACATCCATGTCTGTGAAAAAAAGACCCAACATGATTAATTATGAGACAAAACATGCAGCTTTTCACTAATGTAGTGTTTTTTTTTTTTTTTGCAATCTTGCACACAGACCTTCAGGAACCAGCTTGATGACCAGAAGCATGATACCACAGAACATCAGCGTGGAGAAGAGGAGAACGGGTCGGGGAGCTCTTTTCACCAAAAACCAAGTGGCTACGTAGGCCACAAGGTCAATAGCTGCAGAGAGGAAGCAGTTCAGGTAGATATTTCCATTTAGGTTGCTAGTATTGAGAGAGAGACCGTAGAAAACCATGGAGACAGACATCCTGCAAAAAAATAAATAAATTACAAAATCAAGACTGAGTGAGGATCAGAGAAAACTGTTTGCATCACATTCCTCATATAATACGTCAATCTCACATTACACATTGTAGAATTTAAAAACATTGATGGATGTTGGACAAACTAAGTGATGATTTCTCAAACATGATGTGTTCAGGAAAGTTAGGAACAAAGGAAAAGAAGACATATTACCATATGAAAACACCTGAAATTGTGATGTTCCTCATGTTTCGGGTGCGTATCAAGTCCATATAAGTGTATGTCTGCTCTTCTTCGCCTTTATTTTGCTGAAATTAGACACGAGATAGAACCACACAGTGCTTATTTTACTGCTGTTCAGTAGCTTTCACAGTGCAAAGAGTAAGAAGTGATAATATACCATGAGCTCTGAGCACTCTCCAGCCCTGAATATGACCCCGGGGGCAGGGACTCTGTTCCACTTGGCAGCCTTACGTATGACAAGCTCAGCCTCCTCCACTCGACCTTTTTGCAGGAGCCAGCGTGGAGACTCGGGAATCACCCTGAACACACACACACGGACAGAAGTTCATTGAGCATAGCAGGAAATGTGAACAGCCTTTGCACATCAGTACGAGCTGGTAAAGATAAGCGGGCGTTTAAAAAAAAATCTATCAAAAGCTTCAATTGAACGTGCTTTGGTGAGGCATGGACTATAATCCTTTCAAACTGTTAGAATAGCAGACAGCTTCACAGAGAATCTACAGCACGTACGGGATTGAAAGCTAAAAAATAAAAACTCGGCAGACAGAGACAGGAGGAGCCATAAATGGCTTATGGATTTTGTATCGAGGTCTGACAGTCTAACAATTCTGTTTGCCTGCAGTGAACCAACTTGCTGCTGAGTGAAAGCAAACACTGCCTAACACAAATATCACCCAAATGTTGTCCGGGCTGACTGGCAAACATTTTATCGCTTTCAAATTGATCATGAGTGAACTTTGGCTTTGAGAAGCTAGTAGTGAAAAAATGAAGAGGCCGGACCATTATTTGAAAGGAAAAATGAAAATGAAAATGAAATGAAAATGAAAAATAATTTATTTATCCCAGAAGGGAAATTCAATCTTGTAAAAGCTCACTTTAAAAAAATAAAAAAATAAAAAAATCAATATAACATATATTTTATACAACAATAACAATAATCATTCAGTCAGTCAATTGTCAGTTTAAATTTTTTGGTTTCAAAAGATACGTATTAATGTTAAGTTAATAATACTATTTGTTTTTAAAACCAAAGTAGCAGAAAAAAAAAGAAAACTAGCCAGAACAGCCGCTTTCCCCCGACCAGGAAGTGCAAACAGGAAGTGAGGCGTTAAAGCAGGAACACCTGAGTGAGGCAAACAGGTGAGGCATGGAGAGCAACAGAGTGAAGTGAGAGTTGGAAATAGAAGATTTCAGAAAGACTAATCAAGGTTTTGGCCATCTTTGCTTCAGAATGGATGTAATAAAGCAAATGGAGTGTCTGTGGAGCCCAGAGCTAGCTGGATATATGTGACATGGGGTCCTTCAGAAAGTGGGACTGAGCTTCTCCCTGGAGCAGGACTGGATGTTCCACCACCTCTGTGGCTGCTTTGGACGGCTGCATGGATGTCTGCGCCTTTGTTGGACACGGTTGAGATAAGTCTTCTTTTCTCTCTCTTTTCTCTTGCCTACCTTCCTTAGCCGCTCACCAACACTTAGATTTCATACACGCTCCCCGGACTTCATTGAAATGATTCTTCTTCGGCCAGATGTTGTTTGAATGGTTTTCCTTATTTTTAAGGAGCTTTTGATTTTCTTCTGTTGTAGGTACTGTTGTAGATTTTTTTTGGTCTGTTTCTGATTTTTTTTAGTTGGGATTCTGTTGATAAGGTGGTCTTTTATCTGAGACATTTCTGTGTTTGATATTGACTGGAGTTGTATTTAACACGGATTTTAAAAATGAAAAGGAAATTGATGGCTGTAGTTCTCGTCTATCTTGTGTGATTTTGGTATTGAGGGAGATACAGTCCAAATAAAAAAACTGGAACATTTCTGAACCATCCATCCATCCATCCATCCATCCATCCATCTTCTTCTGCTTTATCCGGAGTCGGGTCGCGGAGGCAGCAGCCTTAGCAAAGCCGCCCAGACTTCCTGATCTTCACACACCTCCTCCGGCTCTTCCGGGGGGGACCCCTAGGTGTTCCCAGGCCAGTCGAGAGACATAGTCCTGGGTCTTCCCCGAGGCCTCCTCCCGGTGGGACGCGTCTGGAACACCTCCCCAGGGAGGCGTCCAGGAGGCATCCGAAAAAACTACTGGAAAGTACATTTTTTTTTTAAATCTTTTTTTTTGAATGAACCTACACCATTTTGCTCCATGTTGACATGACTACATCATATGATTCCTACAAATCTGTCAGCTGTACATTCATGCTGCCAATCTCTTGCTCTATCACCCTCCAAAAATACTACTATTGAATTGAAAGCTGGTAATCGGTGGAGTCCACTGGACTCATTGTTCATGAAAGCAGTTTAAAATGAGTTTGGCTTTCTGACACAGTGAATTATTCTGCTGCAAGTAGCCATTAGAAGATGGTTAATTGTGCTCATAAAGGGATTCACATAGTCAGCAATAGCATTCACGTACACTTTGGCTTTATGGCACCAATCAACAATGAGGACTGTTGACAAAAAAATCAGGGTTGGTCTATGAATTCACTAGAAATAGAGATGTAGCAGATAGATTTTAGCAGTTTTGGTGAGCCTTTGTGCACCGCAGCCACAGCTTTCTTTTGTTGGTTGACAGGAGAGCAAGCGGATGTGATCTCCTGCTGTAGCTCATCCATCTAAAGCAGGGATGTCCAATCCTGGTCCTCGAGGGCCACAATCCTGCATGTTTTAGATGCTTCCCTCTTCCAACACACCTGATTCAAATGATCAGGATTGTTATCAGGCTTCTGTAGAGCTTGATGATGAGCTGATCATTTGAATCAGGTGTGTTGGAAGAAGGAAACATCTAAAACATGCAGGATTGTGGCCCTCGAGGACCAGGATTGCCCACCCCTGATCTAAAGGTTGGAGGTGTTGTGCACTCTGAGATGCTTTTCTGCTCACCACAGTTGAAAAGCTTCGGTAGTCTTTCTGTCACCTCTAACCGGTCTGGCCATTCTCGTCTGATGTCTCTCACTAACATCTGGACAACTGCCACTCATTGGATGTGTTGAACTCTAGAGACTGTTGCTTGTAAAATCCCTGGAGATCAGCGGTTTCAGAAATACTCAAACCCCAACAGTCATGCTACTGTCAGTGTTGCTGAGAGCCTATTTTTTCCACGTTGTATCTGCAGGAATGATGTTGCCGAATTGGAAACTTGCACGAGAAAGCAGGTGTTCCTAATAAAGTGCATAGTGAGTGTATCCGCAAAATATACTTTTAACCATGACTAACCACCACAATGGAATAAACAGGAAGCCTGGTATGGCAGCAGCAAGCAGCAGCATCCTCCATCCTCGCATAAAGTAGGCAAAGAGCGGCAACAAGGCGTAACCGATGCCAAAGCCGAGACTGTGGCCTAACAAAGTGAAGCTCACCCTGGCAGACGGGCTCAGCATCTCAGAACCTGAGCGAGACAAGAATCACAAACATGTGAGAGTTGATGAGTAGCTCACAGATTGGGCATTGTTTTGTTGTAGATCCAGGTATGTTATAGTCACTAGTGCAGCCTTGAGCCCCGAGCAACGATGAGTCGCCTTCGGAGGTCTGGTGGTGTGTAGTCTTCAGACTGATGCTGCCTCCCTGACTCGAGGCAGTTTATCAGATTTTATGCAGCTCACATTGGAGCAAAAAAAAAAAAACTTCACCATGTTTTTTCACATAAAGAGTTATTTTTTCCCCCAAAACTTGTAAAGAGACTTTGATGTGTAACACTTGCATTTGTAAGACCCAAAATGTGAACTGACAAAACACAAAGCAATGATTTTTTTTTGTACATTTTGCCTGAGGAAGAAAAACACTCACCGCTACCACGCTGCTCGCTGCTAAAAGTAAGATCCACTTTGTCACATGAAGATACTGAAGAAAAACAAGCGATGGAGGCCTAGTTCAGGTATATGTGCTGTCTCACCCAGTACGAGTGATGTGATGTAATTGGATATCTGGCCAAGTCCTCTCAGGCAGTTGAGGATACAGAACATGACCCAGCTCACGGAGGCAGCCTGGATCAGGGCCGTGACCGTTTGCAAGACCATGGTGAAGAAAAACACCGGCTTCCTACCAAAGCTGTTAGACACAAAAAAAACAATCAACATCACTGTGTCTTTTGCTTGATTTGCACATTTCTTTTCTTCCCTCCCTTTCTCATGTTCTCTCAGATTGTTCGATTTTGCTCCGAGCACCACAGTCATCAGTGGAAGTCAGAAAAACAAAGTAATTAAAAATGCGTTTTCAAAATTAGAGCTGAAATGATTAGTTGATCAGCTGAACATTTACTCAGCAATTACTTTGATAACGGATTCATTGTTTAAGTCCTTTTTCAAACAAATATCTCAGACATTTTTCTAGCGCCAGATTTTTAAAAATGTTTCTTCGTCATATGTAATAGAAAATGAATTCCTGCACATAATGATAAAACATGTATTTATTTGACAAAATTATTAATCAATGAACTGAAAAAAAAAACTGCAAATGGCTTGATCATTCTTAATGGAAATAATTGTTAGTTGCAGCCATGTCATAGTTAATAAAAACGGTTTAAGTGACCATGAGGAATATGAAATTAATTCTAGATTATGACCTTTAAATGAGCCTTCTCTTTCTTTCTTGCATTGTCATTTTTATTTGGTATCTGCCTTCATTATACTGTGCATGTATACACTCTGCCATTTTATTTACATTCTACATATACATCAGACTTTGCACTGTTGTCTTATAATTGCATAATTAGAATGAATATCTTCTTATCTTTTATAGTTTTGTCCACAGCTTTTATCTTGACAACTTGCTAACATGCAAAAGCCCAACATGGAAATGAACATGAGCTTTAAAGCCACTGGCTACATATTGTGTGTGCTTCATATACTGCTCAAGACATCCTGATAACTTTAAGGAACCAAACACACAACCCCCTTCCCCCCCAAAAAAAGGAAAGCACTTCATAAAAGGTTTGTGGCTACTGCTGAATCTAAGACGCTTCAATGTTTCATGCATTGAATTCCTGCTTAACTATCTGCTACAATGACAGAGCAAACCTGTTAGCAAACTTTTCTTTTGTAGACTCCTTCAACTCCTTTCAGGTTGTGGATGACAGAAAATAATACTTAGGAGACGTTTTTCTGGGTAATTCTATGTTGAAAACAGTTTTAATTAACAACTTTGTCAAAAGACTGGATTTAGAACCAACTTAATTCTTATTTTTTTAAAACCACTTTATAATTTCTATTATATCATGAGGTCACTTAGATCATTAAACTACATTTTTAAACAACCAAAACTTATTTATGAAACTTAAAACCTTAACCTGGGCATTTGGGTATTTTATAAAAGACTCTGTCCAAGATCCCTTTCTGTCCCCCTGCATATATAATCTGTGCACTTAACAGTATTTTCCCATCATGGAAGAATCATTGTTTTTGTATGTATAGAATATGTAATATTGTTGTTTTCCACATTTGGAAGACTTATACTTATGCATGTTTTCCACTAATGTCCCTACATTTCCGGACTATTCTCTTTGCTGCTGCAACACTACAAATGGGATTAATGAAGAATTGACTTATCTTATCGTGTCATTTAGAGTTAAACTCTGTCGAGACTCTTTGCTTTTTTAATTTGAAGAAAAGCAACATGATGGAAACTCGTCTGTCTTCCATTCATGTTAAAACAAGACATAATTTTTTTTTTCCCTCCATAATTACAAAAATCAAGCTGACCATGAGGACTTCTGGACACTAATCCTGGAAAAAGATGTAGTATGTGCCCATATTTCAGAAAATATTTAAATCATTTCATTATTGGTTTTGCTTATTTCTTTTAGTCTTGACATTGTGAATTTATGTTTATGCAAAGCAAACATTTTTAACTATTAAAAGTGGACCTACCGGTCTGAGAGGTGCCCACTAATGAAGGATCCAATCAGGACCCCTACGAAGAATAAGGAGGTGGAAAAAGGGACTTTCCATGCACTGTCACACACTAGATCCCACTGCAGGTAACAGAAGAAAGGATCACTGGGGTTACTTTCAAAGAAATCTGACATTTAAAGTGAAATCTAATTTAATTTAAGTTGAAGAAGAGATGAAGCTATGAGGCAATCTTGACAAGTTTTAAACTCTTTTTGACTGTAGAGAGCTGATCACAGAGCTGACTGTGCAGAAATTCCTGATCTAACACTAAAAGTCCAGTTATTTCTAGTGTGCACATGAACCTCAGACACAATGGTGTCTCTGTCGGTGCTGTAGATCCATCCGTCCGCACACTGCTCTGTTTCGTTGCTCAGTCCTGCTGTCTCAGTCCAGTTTGCCTTCAGTTTGTATCGGGAGCAGCTGTCAGCTTCCATCCAGCTGTTCCGCTCCTGGAGAGTCGCCTCCACATCTGCACCGATGCGCGCGGAGTCGACGGACACGTTGCAGTGATGTGCAGGTGTGTCCGAGACAAAAACCACGATCACTCCCATGTACCCGCAGGGGACTGCACTTAAACTGAGCACAACCATTATTAGAACTTGAAAGAGGCCGTAGTCTCCCAGAAAAGACGTGACTTCATCCAAGTCTGTGATTTTTCCCTCTGACATGGTTGCAAAGAATAAAAAAATAAATAAAAATCCTGGTGAGGCACAGCTAAGTCCACATCTGGAGGATGAGTTAAAATATCTCCACGATAAAACAGCTGTATGGGACTAATAAGCCTTCAGGTAGTTTTAGAAATGTCAACAAAGCAACCTGCACTTCTGTATCTAGTTCTCTGTCAGTAGGTCTTTGCTCTTTATGATGGACTCTGCAGGAATTCCTCTTTGAACACACCTAGAAATTCAGACCTTGTTTGACAGGATTATGTCAGCAGGTTGAAAGATAAGAGTTAGTGAACAAAGAAGCAGGATCTTCCCCGAGGTGGGCTGGTGTAGGCCAGAGAACTGAGCCTGTGTGTCCAGCTCTCTGTGAAATTGTTGTTCCTCATTTAAAGTATTTCCCCTCTGAAACAGAAGAAATTATTTTAGAATAAAGATCTATTTTCACATTATGTGTGCCGCGACCTTTGATCTGAACCCCTGCCAAGTGAAAGATGCAGCTCATGCACCATGTGGCAACACAAGCTGGTGTTTGCTAACATTTTGTCAGTATTTGCATTTCTTCATTCCCTGGCAAACCAGCAGGTATCACAATCCAACAGTACTGTCCATCGTAGCAGTCATCTCTAGCAATTAAAACCCTGTGCACAGAGAGAAAAAACTGCAATAGAGATAGGGCATAAATGTAGATGTAGCACTTTACATTTTATTGTAGGTCTGGCACCCAATTTTATGGATGCGAATGCTTCTTTCGTCATGACGGGCCACGTCATGATTCTAAAGGTTGCCGTTGTTTGTATGTTGTAATATGTAATATCATTGCACAGTTAAAAAGCCTTTTGCAACGGCGCTGCAGTCACAAGACAATGACAGCGAACTGGTCTATAAGCTGCTATCAGTGATTCTGTCACTGTTCAGCTTCGCTCTAGCTCGTCAAATACAGGCAAAAGCTCCATCTAGTGAGGAAGGCCATGAGCTGAGAAAGCCAGTAAGTGGATATACGGTGAGGATTGGTTAACGTGATGGTGGCTGTACGATACACTGAGGCTGAGGCAGCAGTGTGTGAAATGAAATATTTAAATGTCTACAGAAAAGCAGATTCTTTAAATGAAAAAAAAAAAGAACAGGGAGACAAAAGAAACAACATAATGTTAAAACAAAGCAGAGAGGGAACCCAACATTACAATAAATGACTAAATACAGTTGTAGTCGGGATATACCAGCTTTGCTAATAGAAGACAATCCGACAGTAGATGTGTGGACAACCACCACAAGATGGTGCAACACAGCACGCAAGCTGCTGCAAACGGCAAGACTGCTGCCACTAATGAGGGAAGTTTGTCTTATATTTAAAGGTTGTGATCAAATCAATGGTGGACACTTGTGCAAAGTACCACAAGTGAATGTAAAAATACAAATTGCACTTAAAATTATGTCGCAAAATGTTCTTAATCAACAGTAAAAGTACTCATTCTGCAACAAAAGGACCTTCTCACTATATACACCTTTTTTTAGATTTAACAAAAATGTTGTGATAGAACATAAATGCATGAGTGCATATTCAGCATTTTACTGTTAAATGAAGTTACCTTTGTTAACTTGATGTATGAATCAGAATATAAAGGTGGTAAATGGAGCAAAAGATGCCACTGAAGAACCATTTTTAGTTTTACCTTTTTGTAAGACGTTCTTTGTGAAGCAAATTTTTGCAAACAGTTTTTTTTAAAGAACCCCTGAATCTGCTTTAAAGATGTAAAGAGCCATCAAAAATGGATCCTATAGGCACCGTTTTCGAAATTGATTCTTTGTCGATCCACCTGGTTCAGTAAAGAACCTCTTCTACATGGTTCTTTAACAATTTTTACGTCTTTAAATTAATGCTTCGTTGGGCATTTTAAATCAAGTTGTAATGTGTAGGTCAAAAAACAAAACCAGCATGTGGCTGTTTGGTGATTTATTAATATTCATTTATATATCATTTAGCAACAGAAGGTTAAAAAATGCTAAACACAAACAAAACCCCTAAAACTTTATCTTTACATGTGTATCAAACTGAAAACCAAGAATTACAGAATGTATTTGACAACTATAGAAACACTGATTTTTAAAAACTTCTACATATAATACATTTAATATTTTAGGTTCCAGACTGTTGGTCAGACAGAGGAACATGTCATGAGAAGCCAGTTTAGGATTTGGGAAACACTGATGGACACTTTTTCACGGTTTCCTGATGTTTTATCAACCAAATGATTAATTGTTTAATTGAGAAAATAATCTGCGGGTGAAATTGTAATGAAAAAATAATTGTTAGTTGTGGCTTTAATTACACGCTGCTCTCTGTTAACATATAACTTCATTAAAAAATGAAGATTCCTTTAGTAAAGAAGCAGTTTTGATCTACAGACTGAAAGACACTAAGATGTGTCAAAGTAGATGAAACAGTTTTGTCAGAGGTCACAAGCTGAAACGGTTGTAATTCGCTGGCTTATTTTTTAAAAAATTAATTAAATTGGACTGCACTTTATAGGCTTTTTAAAAATATGTAAAATCTAAATGTGTGAAATAAGCTCTCAGATAAATACCGTTGAGATGTTGCAGGATACCAAAGGAGAAGAATAATTTGGAAAAACTCAGGAAAAGACACAAAAGTGTATTAAATTAAAGTAGCTGAGTAAATATACTATCAGTACTCGATCTAAGGGTTGGATTTACACAACAGATAAAACAATATGGCATAAAAAGACCCGAATTAAAGCCTTTGAACGCAGCTCAAACAAGCAGCATCAGTGCAGTGGTGGCGGCCCTCTCCACCTGAATGCCACACCTTGCCGTGCTTTGGCCAGCGGTGTTGCTATGACGACGTCTCCTCCGGCCAGATGCCCTCTGACCCCCGGAGAGGCGGCCTTTGGCCTGAGGGTCATCGTACGGGGTCAGGGGGTCAGCTCCTGCTAGAGGACGGTGAAAGCACTCCACTGATTGGCTATCATTTGCCCTTTCCGTACCCTCATCTGTGTAATTGGCATATTGACCAACTGGCCCTTTTGCACATTGTTAGCAGCACCTTGTTCAGTTTACACAGAGCGGCGTGGACTGTTTGGGATATTTAGGTGCCTGGTAATCCATTGAAAGGTGTGTTTGTGTCTGTATACCTAAAATAAAACCTCACTTCTTTCCTCCATCATGCCACCGGCGCTAATTCTTTCACAGTGGTGAAGACGGCACATGTAAATCAACTGATGGAGGTCTTTTGCGATCGTATGGATGAGCGCTTCGCTTTAGAACGTCTGATAGGCAAATAAGCTGCTGGGTAGCGACGGGGAAACCCCTCCATCCAGCTCGGCTCGGCCTCATTCCGCTTCTCCTCTCCCTCCTGATGATCTATGCCTCCCAGGCCCATCACTTGTCAATATCTCCACATTAATTTGAGAGAGACACTGTGTGGGGGCAGGGCTCTGTGAGACTGTAGAAGGGGGGAGAGAAGTGGCACACGGGGGACAAGGACATGAGAAGGAGAGAGGCAGGCGGAGGAGGTGAAACGAGAGGAAAATGAGGAAATGGAAGCAGGATGAAGGATGGGAGAGAGCCGAGTGTGGGTGAGAACGAGAGGACCGGACAAAGAGGCTGTGTTTTAGCCATCATTCTTACACGCAGCTTCCCTCAAATATCAAAAGCCTTCTCCATTTGTCCAAATGAGCCCTGCAGTCAGCAGGATCTGTAATGATAATGGCTGTTTGAGAACGGAGCCCCATTGCGAGGAGAATCCATCATTGTCTGCCATCAAACCTCCGAGCCTCTGCAAAGAGAAAGCGGAGTACAACTGTGATTCATGGCCGGAAAAGAGCTGTGTTTTTACTTGGACGCGCACATATCACACACCTGCAGCAAATCCTGACTCCGTGGACGCTTTAACTCCACCTGCTGTCATAAAAGACTTCCGCTATTTGGGAACTGACAGTAAAAATAACAGCTTGTTCAATAACCATCCACTCTTCCTCTGTGGTGTTTCCGAGTGACCCTTCACCTCTGACCCCCTCCTGATCCCACCAGGTAGCAAACAAACCTCGTAGCATCTCGGTGACTCATGTACCTGCACAGAAATGTATATAGATGCAGTGGATGGAGTTCATTAGCTCAGCATTAATAATTTTTTTTCACCAATTTCTCTCAGTATTCATTTTTCAGACTCTAATTACCGCTGCTCTTGGCTGTGAGGAGGCCTGAGGGACTGTTTATCAGCACCTCTCATTATTTCAACAAGATCTTTTATCATTTTGCTCACACTGATGCCACAAGGTACTGTGGGATGTGATTCTGCAGCTCAAGATTCAGTTGAGGAAAGAAAAAAAAAAAAAGTAAGCGCAAACAGACGGCTTTGTTTCTTTTCTGCTTTTGTTTGCCATTAAATTTGCCAGCTATTTCTAATAGACTTATTGCAGAACATTTTAAAAGGCTACAGGGTGAGTATCGAGTGAGACTCGCTCCAGTGAATATTTCAGCCTAGAGGAATTCTTTGAAGTAATGGTCTGCTAAGTAACTTCTCTGCATTGAGCTCGATAGTTCCTCCACACTACTTACAGAAATGATTTTTCTTTTCCATGCAGCCATAGTTGAAAAATCGTCCGTGCTGCGCTTGTTTGAAGCTGAGAAATATTCGCAGCGCCCGGTGGATGCACAGGTGTGTGCAGCGGGAAGGATTTCCACATTTTCCAGCTCTCCTGCCGTCTAATGGGTTATTTGTCATCTGCAGAGTAAAGGATTTTTAAAAGTCAAGCTAGGACCGACTCCCTCCCTATCCTTTCTCTCACCCTCCCTCTCTTTCCCACTACCCCCCTGACACTTGCAATGGGCGATCGATAGGTTATTGATCAACTCTCTCTATCGCCAACCCACCAGACTAATCACCTTAACACCAGCCCAACTCTCTCTCTCTCTCTCTCTCCCTCGCTTTTCCCCCTCTACTCATCTTCTTCCCTGTTGCTCTCGGTTTCCATCTCTTGCTCTGT